TAATTTAAATTGTTGTGGTGGATTTATCGCAATTCTTATGGGGTAGTCGCGATATTTTGGCACTTTCGCTTGTTTGGCACTTTCGTTATACATGCACGTTATAGCTTTTTATAATGTATAAAAAGTCTAGCAGTGCTAGTTCCATGGTTATTATTCTATTAATTGGATGAAATCACCCATACAAATATTTGTATGAGGAAAACTTTAATGTTAAATTAATCAGGTAAAACGACGCTAGAAGTGTTAGCATTTCTAAGTTAAAGTAAAGGTCTATATATAGAACCCTAATATGGATCAGCTAAGCAGTACGATTTTTATTAATAGAGATATTTAGGTTTTTAGTTTTGCAAGTGTGAAGTACCTTTGCATATGAATTTGTATATAAAGGTACATTACTGCATCTACGCCATTGCTGCATCTATGCCACGACCTACGTTAACTTACCTTACTAATATAATATTGCCACCTTACTAATATTTGCCACCCATTTGCCACGTAGGACAATAAGTTACCCTATAATGTAAGTCGTGGCATAACGGGACAGATGGCGTAACGGGACGCTTTGCCAGAGCCACCCGCACCCCACCAAATTCACACACCCATCCACCAATTATGGTCTGCAAAAAAAGTCGAAAATCAGAGGATTTAGAAGTTCTATTAGCTCAAGCTATCTTAGGTATCCAAAATGGAGTATAAGTCATCATATGAGGCTGCTAAGGCCTTGGGGCTGAGCCGCAATACTGTTAATAAGCGTGTTAGCCAACAACGGCCATCAAGACAAGAAGCGCGTCAAAAACAGCAATTATTATCAAAAAATCAAGAAACCACTCTCTTAAAGTGGATTAAGGACCTTACTACAAGTGGCTATGCTCCAAGCCATCGCATATTACGTGAGGTTGCAGAGGAAGTGCGGTCAAATAAGTGTCGGGTCTTCCAAACCCAGGTGAGCTAACCCGTGGAGTGGACCACCTCAGTCAAGTCAACCACCAACCCATCAAACCTGCCATAGACTGGCAGACTCGGCTATTTCTAACTAGTGGCTTGGCAAACCCCATCAAACCAACCGGCCCAGCAGCAGACCCGACCGACCCAGCAGACCCGACCGACCCAGCAGACCCGACCAACTCAACAGACACAAACTCAACAACCACAACTCCAACTACCTAAGTTACCACTTGGGCAAGATTGGGTGCCACGGTTCATTCAGAGGCATCCTAACTTACGTGTTAAGCTAGGAAGAAGGGTTGAGGCACAAAGGATGAATGGGGTCACAAAGCAGGTGTTGAAGGGGTGGTTTGACGCGTACAAGAGCCTCACAACAGAGCTAAAAATCGAAAACTACAACACCTACAACATGGATGAGACTGGATTTTCAATTGGAACAATGCAATCTACACGAATTATAGTCGATTCTACACTTAGGACGCGTTTTCAGGCACATCCAGGAAGGCAGGAATGGGTCTCTGCTGTTGAGTGCATCTGCATGGATGGAACAACCACCGACCCCCTCATTATCTTCAAGGGACAGAATGTACTACAGAGCTGGATTCCAAAGGATGTTATAAGCAAATGGCACTTCTCTGCAAATACAAAGGGATGGACAAGCAATCTTCATGGATTAGAGTGGCTAAAACGTGTTTTTGAGCCCTCTACAAGAGCAAAAGCAACACTTCCAAATGGACAACTACAACAGAGGCTCCTTATTTGTGACGGCCATGACAGCCATATAAGTGGGAGCTTCATATCACACTGCATACAGAATCGCATATCGCTACTTATACTACCTCCACATACCTCTCATGTGTTACAGCCACTTGATGTTGCAATTTTTGGACCTTTGAAAAAACACCTCACAACAGCCCTCTCACACATTAATGAGGCGCAACTCCTACGCATACAGAAGTCGGAATGGATGGATGCATACATACAAGCAAGAGCAGCTGCATTTTCAAATTCAAATATAACTTCTGCTTGGAGAGGGAGTGGGCTACAGCCATTCCAGCCACAAACAGTCATTCGAGCAGCTACACTTCCTACAACAGATGCAGTAATAGTGCGGCCAAAGACTCCAACAGAGCATGACATTTTTGAGAAAGTATTTCTCAATAGTAGTCCACCTGATTTTAATACCCTTCAAAAAGCAAATTCTGTGCTCTCTACAGCTCTAAATCAAGGTGTTTTGAACACTCCTACAAAGCGATATATTCATAAGTTAGCAGATGAGACAGAGAAGCTTAATACACGCCACATACTGCAACAAAGAGAGACAGATAACTTGCGCAGTATAATCCAGAAGCGCAGAGAACAGAACAAGGGCAAAAGAGCAGTTTTGAAGGGTCAATTCCATATCTCTACAAAGGAGTTGCAGTCGCAAGTAGCAGATGCAGAAGCAGCAACAACAGCAACACAAAAGTCGAAAACATCAACAACACCACATGCTACAGCATCTCTAATTGATTTAATTGATGATAGCAGTGAAGAGGAGATGTATGATAGTGATTTAGATGAATTAGCATAGTAATGGTAGAATTATTTGCTATTTTTGGTGGTAGTGGTAGTCTGGTAGTTTGGTGGGGTGCGGGTGGCTCTGGCAAAGCGTCCCGTTACGCCATCCGTCCCGTTACGCCACGACTTACGTTACATAAAAGCTTAATAGCAACATTACCATTGAACTTTACAATGATTTTAGTTGTAAAATTGGGTGGGCCACTCGCGTGTGTGGGCCACTCGCTTGTGAAATACGTTATAAATTTGATCATCGGCATTTTATTGATTAGCTGCACACAAGACAACTTTCCGAGGGTATCATGAATCGACAACCAGCAACCTAACAAAACTAATAGTAGGACACGAACGCCGATTTGTTATACGCCCCCGGGCTTTGGGCTATTCGCTGCGCTGCCTCCACCTCTTTTTACCAGACCTGCAAAGAACGATGCCAATGCCTCGTTTTGGGACTTTCCATCTGGTGTTGACACGCTAGGAGTTTCAGTGTCCAAGCTCCGGTTGTGATCCTATTTAATCAGCATAACTGAACCATATGTTATTATTATCATGGGGCATTCATATCATACGTACCGTTAATCGTTTGAGCATATCATCTACGTCGACCTCGATACCCCCCATGTTACATTGTACAGGCCCAATGTGGCTTTCAACTGGAACGATCGCCTCATCCTGGAAGAATTTTTGCCTAGTCGAGCGCTCTCGCTCAGGCTCTGCAGTGTTACGGATATGGTCTAGAGCCTCGAGCTGGGCCGCCAGGAATGCTTGCGTTTCTTGGCTTTTAATCTCCAATTTTTGGCCGGTGGAGTTGACGTGCATATTGGAAGTGCCATAGCCTCGAGGATCTCGGATAGCCTCTTCGTAGGCGGATATGGCACTCAAACATCCCCCAGATGTTTGAGAATCCGTTCGGAGCTCGTTCTGATCACCTTCCACCGCTTTTTTGCTGGCGTATACTGGGTCCTCAATGTCTGAAGTCCACCCCTGGCTCATTCGCTCGACATCGAAACCATCTCTGAGAACTCGGATCTTTCCCCAAGAGTCCCAATTTGGCGGAACAACAACCTTATCTCGATCGATGACGTTATGCTTTAAAGCCTGTTTTTTCAATAGTGGTTGAATACCAAGTGACGAGTGTATCAGAGGTCGGAGTTGACTTGGTGCAGAGGGTATTGTATATATGAGGGAAGCGCCATCTAAGCCACAACATTAGCATGTAAAACATTGAAGGCGACAAGGAGGTACTACGTTTAAGTAATATGGTTCTCAGCGTCTGCAAAACGAAGTCGAACTCTTCTTCCTTCCAAGCACTTTCCCTTTCCAGTGTCTCCATTTCGTCGGACTGTTCATAATAAGTATTGTAATAATATCTGTGATCCAGAAATACTCACATTCTGGCAAACGACACACAATGGCAGCCCTAATGCATCCTCCCATTCTCCAGGACCTAGGGGCAGACTGACTTCGCCTTCAGATGAAAGAGAACCTCCACCATCCAAAGCCGTTCCCTTTCCTCTGTCACGCCAGCGGATCATGACTTCTTCCATCTTGGCCTTGCACTCCGGACTCAGTGAGACGAGTAATACTCGCAGTAACTTCACCCAGTCCCTCAATTGTTGCAACCAGAGCCATGGCTCAGACCAGTCGAGTAAAACGACAATCAAGGTATTTGGTATTGACTCGGGCGTGAGGAGCGAGCGCAAGAGCGGGGTGAAGGTTGGAGATGGATCTGCCAACAAGTACAAGGACAGTCGGGCTATGGTATCTTTGATGTGTCAGTTAGGTGAAGCAGGCCCAGGATGTGAGCAGTTCATACCCTCATGGTCAGCGTCCAGTACGTCGTGGTAGGTATACCCAAGTGCGAAATCGTTTGCTACAGGCGGCTTCCTGTTTCCATGCCGGCCCTGTGACCTTTTCGTTGATGATTCCGAAGATAGAGCCTCCAAGAACTCTTTTTGGCTATCAGATGAGCCTCCTGTGCGTTTATTAGAAGGTCGCCATGTGAACATCTCGGTATTTTTGGCCTACCTAAAACAAAAACATTCCTCTCTGGGAGGCGCTTTCCGCTAGCTACACTGTCCAACATAGAGGACCATATCTCCTTCTTCGATGTATCCTGGCTCTTGTGCACATCATCTTCCGTGAATTGGGGGTTTGGTGTGTGTATTGACATGATTGTTTATCGTGTTTCCAATTGCTGTATCTCAAAGCTTGCCCAGAGTGGATCAGGCCGTATGTGTGGTTCACAACCAGTTTCCCATTTCTCTACTAACAGAGGCGTCAATAGGCTCCATAAGCACTCATTTATTGCTGTGAAATGTGAAATGCTCTCTTCGAAAGTTGGCGTGGTAGGCCTCCTTTTGGTTGACTTTACTGTGGAGTTGAAAGTACCTATTCGTCGATAACGGGACCTCCCGTGTGTCAGCCTTGCAGATAATAAATAAGTAGCAGGTTCTGGGCACGACAACAACGTCAATCACACACATCCGGTAACCATGAATAGTATACGCCAAGTCCAAGAGCTGAACAGGAGAGAGCTAGAAAATGGAGTGTATGTTAAGGAAACTTCATTGAACTTGATATATAGTGTTCACGCCTTCTAACGAGCATTAGTTCCCCAGAGGCGTCATGGCATTCCGACTACAAAGACACGGCGTATATCTACATAGGAGGGCTACCGTTCCAGCTATCTGAGGGCGACATCATAACTATTTTTTCTCAGTATGGCGAACCGACGTTTATTAATCTTGTGCGCGACAAAGAAACAGGAGAATCTAAAGGATTTGCTTTTCTGAAATACGAAGACCAGAGGAGTACAGACCTTGCCGTTGATAACCTCGGTGGCACAAAAATCATGAACAGAGTCCTGAGAGTTGATCATACAAGATACAAGAAGCAGGATGAGGAGCCAGATAAAGGACTTGTCCTAGACGATGAAGGCATACGCTCGAATATAAACGACTCTGCGGGGCCCAATAACCACGAGAAGGAGAGAGAACGACTGATGTCGAAGGAGGAAAGTGAGCTTAAGGCTCTCGAAGACGAACATGACGATGAAGACCCCATGAAAGAATTCCTCATTCGTGAGAAAAGGGAAGGGGTTGCAACGAGGTTGCGTCGAGGTCAAGATGAGAAACCTAGATCCCGGGACCACAGAGAGAGGCACCACCACCGGAGTCGTCGCTCTTCCAGGTCACGTAGTCCTAGAGAAAGGGCTCACCACTCTCGCCAGGATAATGCTAGAAAGAGGTCACGTTACGACAGCCACAGGACCGTACGTGAAGATGAAGAGGTAAAATATGCACGTGGGTGGAAGGACAAGTTCTAAGTTATTTCATGGCTGGGATTGATATGTGGCCACAACTAAGCCAACTACAACCAAAGCACATTTCCAGATACCAAGCTGGCCGATAAGGATCTTGCTCAACCACCGCAAATATTGTGTCTACTTCCAAATACTTCGTTATGTTTGCTGAAGAGATGCCGCTGATCCCCGGCTGCTTATTGGCTTGGCTTTAGTGGAATGCTCTTGGAATCGAACATCCATCACCCAATTTTGGTCACATTGATTGACAATGCGCGGCTCAATCGTAAGACCATGTATTCTTTCCTGATCGAGAGCAACATCATGACGGGCCAAGATACCTCTTCCAGCCATCGCGGACGCAATAGCGCTTTCCATCGTCGCCTTCTGCAAGGATAAATTTTTCCCACCGCCCGTCACGTCCAGCACTGATGACAATGAGGCTGTGGTCGCTGGTCCAGCCGATGACTCCCTTCCGCGGCCTAGAGGCTTCAGAAGTGCTGTCAAGAAGTGAGGACTCTTGAGATACGGCATCGCCCAACTCGAAATGTGCCGACGCGAAAGAATAAATATCTGAGAATACACGTGGTAACATGGGTATTCTGCTGAGGATACCCCACTTTTGAGTTGGAGCTTCATCTCCCACTGGCGAGGGACTGCCACTACCCATCGAGGTGAGGCGTCGGTTAGGGTTGCTTGAATCTGGTCTTGCCACCTTTGAAGGATGGGGCATATCAAAGACATGCAACGTCGACTTGTCTGAGGTAACTGCCAGCATTTGGCTGGACGGTGAGATAGATATCGAAAAAATAGAGGCATGGTCAACACCCCGCCTTAACTCGGCAATACGAGCACCATTGCGTGTTCCAAATACGCGTATCAATGTGCCCTATGACGAATATCAGCTACTCCGGTGCAGGATAGAGGATGAGGCATACTCGCCGTCTTGCTTGCTGTTGCCATGATCTCACCGTCTGGACTAATTTCAATAGCCCGCAAGGGAGATGTATGTGCCGGGATGATTCGCACACCTCCCGTCTCGAGTTCAACCAGATGCACCTGACCTGGAGTACGCCCGGGGAACGCCAGTAATTGTGACGATAAGCAACAGAGGCCCAGGGGATTGTCGGCAGTATCGGAAATAGAAACCTTCTCTGGGGGGGAAGAAAAAACATACACATGGACACTGTTCTGTAGTACGACGACGATCCGTTGTCTCGTTAATCGGACCCTTCGGACTGCAGTCCGAAATTCAAGAGTTATTACAGCCTTCTGCTTCGCATCATCCCATATTATCACCTGGCCCTCTCAGCTTATGTGATGTTGAATCTCTGTGAATGTCTCACCTTGTTGAGTGGGAATTTGGGTTGCTTCCCGCCTCCAACCAGAGCTATATAATTCGCTCTGGCCAACATGTCCACGGTTCCCACCCCGCCATTGAAATCTATGGCCGTAGGTTAGTTTTTAAGAACGAGCGTAAACGTTCAACAGTCCAACAGGCACCCATACCTCGTGATACCCGTAGCTCGCACGGGTCAGAATTAAAAACTACAAGAGACTATTAGAATAGTTCATAGATCACCATCAGCGGATGATTCCCCAACGTACTACAAAACCCCGAGTCCAACCCAACTGAAAAGCACGTTGCGTCGTCGTTGAAGGCTGCGTACAACGCCACAGGGCTAACCGACGGCTCGATGGCTGGCCTTGTATTCATATTCCGTAGATCTTGGCAGGTACGACTGCTGTGAGGGCTAAAACAAAGGCAAATCTAGAATGGAAAGCCTTTCGTTCTTGCTAAGCTAGGTCCTGTAGGTGCATTGCGGTTTTGTATGTGTTGTGGTGAAGAATGTTCAACCCCGCCAGATCTGTCAAACGCGGACTGATTTGACAAAAGGTCCCGGGCTAGGCACGCTCGCCTCGTCGTTCTAGCGGCAATATAACGTGATGGGATGTTTTACCAAGTTGCTATTTATAAGTTTGCGTGATAACTATTTTGTTTTCTCTCGAATTCAACCTTCTTGAAGGGAATATAACGGGTAACTGAAGCCTTATCAACTTTGCCTTGGATCCAAAGAGTAGTGGTATGGTAGGTGATATTGGCATGGTAGTACCCCCATGGTTTGGTACATCCAACTTGGTAAGGATTACGACTGTTAGCGCCTCTTCAGCCTCGTCTCTTCAAGTACCTTACCATAGTAGTACTACCAGGTAACGTTAGTAACCTAAAGTGTATTTCTGAAAGGGAGGTGAACCAAATAGGCTAGTCCCAATTTGACCCATCACATTACCTTGGGCCCTGAATTTCGCTACTTCCCAGTGCCAACCCCTAACTTTCATATTGGAGACCTCCCCATCAACCTCTTCTACACTCGGGAGCATCAACATCTCACTTACACCCCCTTCCACCATACTCTATCACCCTTCGAATTCAATTGGGCATCCCAATACCTAGATTGTCCGACGCCATGTCTTCTCCATTGGGCGCAGTGAGCACTCCCCATCGCATACCGACCAAATCATTGTGCTAACCTTTAGATGTCCCAGATCCGGATCCGCAAGAAGAAGAACGTGAAGAAGTATGGCCTTGATCTGATTCACGCTTGAGATCTGCTGCTAACCTGTTTGTTTCCTTCAGAGGTATCCAATTCAGCATTGCTGTCGTGGGCGCATCTGGCTCCGGTGAGAGGATCTCCCTCAAACGCGTCTATCTGTATTCGGAACTAATATTTTGAGAAGGCCGAACAACTTTCGTCAACACTCTCTGCGGCAAGAAGGTGCTTCCTGGCAAGGATGATGATGATGCAGCGAATGCGCATATCGAGGAAGGCGTCAAAATCAAGCCAATCACTGTCGGTGAGCAAAGCCTCGAACAAACTGCCAACGGAAACAACACTGATTCGGATAACAGAACTCGAGTTGGACGAAGAGGGAACGCGTATTTCTCTGACTGTTGTCGATACGCCCGGTTTCGGAGATCAAATTGACAACGAGGCGAGGTACGCACTCATTAAGAGATAATATCCTTATACGGGTTACTGACAACTGTATAGCTTCGGCGAGATTGTTGGCTACCTCGAGCGACAGTACGATGACATTCTTGCGGAGGAGTCGCGCATTAAGCGTAACCCACGATTCCGCGACAATCGTGTTCATGCTCTTCTCTACTTTATTACTCCTACAGGACACGGGTATGCACCCCGTCATATAAAGCGATATTCGATCTGACTGGCGTAGACTCCGTGAACTAGATATCGAACTCATGAAGCGACTTTCACCAAGAGTCAATGTGATCCCTGTCATCGGGAAAGCCGACTCTCTCACGCCCGCTGAGTTGGCTGAATCCAAGAAGCTTGTCATGGAGGATATCGAGCACTATCGCATTCCTGTGTACAACTTCCCTTATGACATCGAGGAGGACGATGAGGATACTGTCGAAGAAAATGCTGAGCTCCGAGGTCTCATGCCGTTCGCTATTGTCGGCTCCGAGGAAGTTGTCGAGATCGGTGGTCGCAAAGTTAGAGCCAGACAGTACCCATGGGGTGTTGTAGAGGTCGACAACCCCAGGCACTCCGACTTCCTTGCTATCCGTAGTGCTCTTCTGCACAGTCACTTGGCGGATCTGAAGGAGATTACCCATGACTTCCTTTACGAAAATTACCGTACCGAGAAGCTCAGCAAGAGCGTTGATGGCGGCGCTGGAGCGTAGGTTCCCCAGTGAGCAGAGCAGTTGTATGTTTACTGATGTTTTACTAGGGACTCTTCTATGAACCCCGAGGATCTTGCCTCGCAATCTGTCAGGCTCAAGGAGGAGCAGCTCCGCAGAGAGGAGGAGAAGCTGCGCGAGATCGAGATCAAGGTGCAGCGCGAGATCAACGAGAAGAGACAAGAGCTTTTGGCCCGCGAGAGCCAACTGAAGGAGATTGAAGCAAGGATGCACCGCGAACAGACTGCGCATCTCGAGGCCACGAATGGTCACGCCGAGGAGTGAGGTGCTAAAATTATTCCATTGCCGCTTTGTCAATATTACTCTGGGACGATGCTTCCCGACCGCCGAGCGATACCTCTGTGTGGATTGTTTTCGCATGGGAGAGGTATTTTTTTGTACTCTCAAAACTCATGTAGCTTTTCTTTCAGTTTCTATTTTGCAAACACGGAGACTCTCGGTTAAGCTACCCTCAGTCTGTTACTAATATGCTACGAATGTTGAACGATGGTGTTGTACTATGTAAGAGTGTTATTCATGAAAATCTTCCCCTGCATTGTCGCCCCAAAAAGCCATAAAGTGATATGTTACGTGGATGTCGTACTACTGAGCCTGTTGGAGCACCGGGCTATTGAGGTATCACAGGAGGGACTCAAAGATTATATTATGAAATTAAGGTGCTGCACTGTACAACTAAACGGATAGACAGTTACCGTGCCAGTACTCCAGTCCTTACTCCTTACTGTACAGGACTATGCAAGTAAGCTGGGAAAAAAAGGAAATAAGCTATATTCAAAGACTATACAGCACCTACACAAGCAAGTAAGCTGGGGAAAGAAAGAAGCTATATTCAAAGACTATACAGCACCTACACAAGCAAGTAAGCTGGGGAAAGAAAGAAGCTATATTCACAGACTGGAGAAGATGTGGAGTCGCGGCTACATGAATGTTGTACATGGATATTGGAGCAAGCGAATCATGACTAAGAAACAGTGGCCCCTGTCGCCACTTGGTGGGACTCCCAGGATGTTGGAGCCTGCCGATGACCTGACATCGCCTTGAACCTTCACAGATCAGATCAAGAGTATAGCTCACTTCATAACGGACCGCCAAACGAATTACTATACTACGAGGCTCAGCGGCTTTCTATAACGCTATTTGACGATGGCCGATACCACGAAATATACTCAGGCGCGCCAGCACGATTCCCTCGATGACACCCACTACACCCAGGCCCCACCATCGTATGAAGACCAGCCCAGCTCAAGCAGAGATGAAGACGCACTGCTCGGGGGCCCAAGGAACAGTGAAGATAATGTTCCAGATGACTTCAAGGTATTTGACCACGCTGGTCTGGACATGAGCAGGGCTGACTCAACTTAGTTTGGGGGATCCGTGGCGGAGGCCACAATCGATATTCGAATGCAGTTCGTACGAAAGGTCTACGCTATCCTGTCAGTTGCCCTTCCTCGCCCACCAAATAACATTTTACTGACATAACTAAGCACTGTGCAATTGCTAGCAACCGCCGTCCTGAGCTCGATATCTTTCTTCCACAGTGGTTACAAGGACTGGATTCAGAGTAATCAGTGGATGATGTGGACTTCTGTATGCATTTCCGGTCCTTCAGCCTGCTAATTTTTCGGCTCTGGTTTATCTTACAAATATTGAGCATCGTGCTGACATAGTCCCAGATGTTTGGTGCGATCGGGTTCATGTTGCTCACGTATTGGAAACGGAAGTCCTATCCAACCAATCTCCTTTTCCTGGCCGGTTTCACAGGTCTCGAGGCTTACGCCATCTCCGTGGTCGTGTCCTTCTACCAATCTCGACTTGTTCTCCAAGCTGTTTTGATAACCGCAGGGCTCTTCATTGGCCTGACTCTTTTCGCCTGCCAAACCAAATATGATTTCACCTCGTGGATGCCGTACCTGCTCGGTACTCTGTGGGCGGTGATATTGTTTGGCTTCATGGCAGCGTTCTTCCCGCATAACAGCAAAGTCGAGTTGGCATACTCGGGAATCGTTGCGCTCCTTTTCTCGGCGTATATTCTTGTCGATACGCAGCTGATCATGCGTCATTATCACGTGGAGGAAGAGATTGCAGTAAGTGCAGCAGCCTTTATAGAAATGAAACCTCATTCTAACGGTGCGATTTTAGGCAAGCATTTCCCTATACCTCGATATTCTCAACTTGTTCCTCGCCATTCTTCGGATCCTCAACAACCAGCAGAATAATTAAGGGCGGCACCGATTCAATATCCAGGGTTCCAAGTAACTCTCCAAGTTATGGGGAAGTGAATAGCACCTAATAGTTGAGATTACAAGGACAGGGTTCGGCGTCGACTACTGGGAATCAGTAGATGGTTTTTTTTGGCACCCTCTTGTGTTTTCACAAACGTATCTGTAGCTCTTATTTCAGCACGCGTTATCGTATCTGTATTCTAGGGCCTCTGAATAATACATGCCAGTAGCACGTATAATTTTATATGCTGCAGCGTGAAGTGAAGTAATGGCCAAGGTTCCACTTGCTCCTACTCAAGCTTTTGTCATCAGTTGGTGCTGAGATTATGCACCTCCATGAGCGGCAAAGGCTCATCTGGGCGATGTAAAAGTTCACATCTAGTACCAGTGGAGTAACGCTTCCTTGGCATATTGATGGGAATGAGCTACTGACTCTAAGATTGTTGGCTTTTGGTAGTAACAAACTATCTGACATCAATCACCAATGACTGAGTAGCACGATCTGCAAGTGAACCTTTGCCGTAGCCCTCGCAAGGTCAATATTACAGTTTTCAGCACCCTTCAACACGCTTCAACCAATTAACAAGACACATCAGGGGCTACATCAACGATGTTTATAATTTTCATTTACACTTTTCAATTTCAACCAGTGAGTGTATGCATGTAACATTTTCCTGAGTCCACCACGAGATGAGGGTGCCTGACGACGAGTAGCCCAGATGTATGTGCCATATTCCCCCATCATCAATCCAACGCCAGTTGCAAGTCCAACAAGATGTCTTCCCTAGAATAAACCGCTAATACAGAACTTCCCAGCAGCCTCGACCGCACACGGACAAGGCGAGGCCGGCACTTTAAAAATAACATGTCCCGCTCTCGTGCCAGAGCCGCGGGGCCAGAGGGCAAGAATACATTAACAAAGGAAATGATACCCGTACGATAGGGTGTGAGTACATAATCAGTCGTCATTACTTAAACCTGACAAATTCGCCATTGCACTATAATAGAATGAGATAATTCGAAGGGGCAATGCCCGTGTCGCCGTTGGCCTTCTTCGCTTGCCACCACCTTCCGCTCACGTCGGAAACCTCTAGGATCTCGTGTTTCGAGAAGCTGATCTCGTTGGCGTCGTCGGGATTCGCCTCGTATGAGTAGATGGCTTTCGCCCTGTAGGGGTATTCTGTCGGGGCGACAACCTCGGGGACGGTCTGCTCGGGAATCTGGCTCGGTGCGCCGGTCCCAGAGTTGACGGGGGCGGGGCTGTTGCCGAAGCGCTGCTGGATAGATCCCTTATCGGTTCCCATCCCTGCGTTGGTGAAACCGGACTGGACAGGTGACGAGGTTTCGAATCCATTGAGTTGCGCGGAGGTGTACATCTGTGGAGCCTGGCGCGAAATAGAAGTATCAGGTCGGCCGCTTCCATAGGCGTGGGACATGCCGCGGTTGCTGCTCGCAGAAGGCTGCTCCTTGTGAAGAGCAAACGAGTCGAGGTAGGCGCGGGAGACCGCAGATGGAGTAGATCCGAAGTAAAATATCCAAACAACCTACAGCGAATTAGTATGATGTGTAAAACAGTGCACGTTGGAAGGAGATCTTACGGTAACCATGCAGAGAAGAATGTCTCCCGCAGCCATGGCATTCATCGACCCAATGGGGGCGAAAATAACGCCGTTGATAGCTGAGCTTGTCACGGTGAATCCAATAGCCAGGAAGCCAACGACCGCTACGCTGTAAGTCGCAGATGTGTTGGAAGCGATAACCACAAAGACGCCGATAATGCAGGCCAGCATATAGAAGACGGCGAACCAGGCGTAGCTCTGCACGTCGCCGTTCACATCGGTGACAATCGTCCCGATAAGAGCAATTAACCAGGCCAGCTGATGAAGAGTTAGTTGGTGATATGGCATTCTGTTGTTTCAGCAAGACTTACCAGCGCTATGGAGAGTGTGGCCAGAGCGAAAGGGTCGCCGAAGATATTATCCATGCTCATCCCGCCCATTCCCCCAGCGCGCCCTCTCATGGATGAGCCCATATTGCCGTTCATTTTGCGTAGTGATGGCGAGTGCAGCGATCCGTAAGATGGCATAAGGAAAACCGGATCACTGATGGTATCCCGAACCCCCTTCCCAGATTATGCCGTGGGTAAGTCGGGTCGCAATTCAGTCGTCGGGTCCGTCGAGAAGTACAGTCGATGGCGAAGGGCGACGAAGAGAGTGTCGCGCGCGTGATACGAGCTGCTGCTGAGCGACAATTAAAGGACCGCGAAGAAAGGAAGGCGATGGAGAGCTCGACTAGCGGTATCTCTCAGGCGCGAATGGAATCAGCTGGCGACGTTGCTGGCTGAGGACGACGTCGTGGTGGCTGGCGGTGGGTTTGGGCTGACAGTTGGGGAGACGAGAGAGAGACAATCTCGGGATAGGAAGCACAGACCACACACACACACAGGACGGAGGAGTCCGTGTAGGAGAATTTGAATCCGTATTTGAGGGCTGGGTGACTTCTAAGGGCAAAGGGCAGACGAGTTGTTGGATTGTATGGTGTATGGGGTGTTGATATGCGACGCGATGGGTGATGTGAGACGTGGGAGAAAATGAAATTGAGAAGGGGAGCGTTTCAAAAAGGCTGGTTGGAGGTGTTGACTGGGCTGTGGACTGGGCTGTGGACTGGGCTGTGGACTGGGCTGTGGACTGGGCTGTGGACTGGCGGCTAGGCTGTGGACTGGATCTGAGTCGCTAGTAGAGCAAGTGGACCTTTGGGAACAGCTCCAATCAATGGTTGTACAGAAAAAGGTTGTACAGAAAAAGGTTGTACAGAAAAAGGGGTAGTTGAAAGTATTGCACACAGCAGTATTGCACACAGCAGTATTGCACACAGCAGTATTGTAGTATTTTGGATTTTAGAGAGTAATATGGGAGTCCACCATCGCCACGATGGAGACAGTGTTGAGGGCAGGGACAGGAGGACCAGGGCCGAGATTAAATACAACGACTGTGCCTGGGGAAGTTGCCGTATAGGAGATACCATTTTCTTACTGTGTGTGTGATGGATGGACGTTGGGTCGTAGGTGGATGGATGTTGGGTCGTAGGTGGATGGATGTTGGATGAATGTCTCATCCAGCAGCCTCTTCCTGCCGCGCGATTTCTGCTCGGCGTATGCCTTGCTCCGTGCTGTCAATCCTGCCCTCTATCTCTGCCCAGTGCTCGCCAGATTGTAAGATATCCACCGAGTAACACCGCTGGAGGACGGCAGCTGTGCGCTCCTTCAGCGACGCAACAGTCTTCATCTGCGCGGCCTGGAGTGCCTCGAGCTCCGAGACTTGAGGTCTTGTCGCCATGATCTTGGCGGATCGTTCGGCCTCAGGTATCGGGGTATCGCGGATCGACGTCAAGCTCGAGGCGGTCAGCGGGAATGAGGCTGCCGAGGAGAGGACGATGGCTGATTTGGACGATAGGTCAAGTAGAGATGGCGGCACCTCGCTATCGGGGCTGTAGAAGAGATCGGGATGCCGCGCATCTAACCGCACAATGTGAGCTCACTGGTCGCCAACTATCACCTTCAGGGCATCAACTCACGAAGCTTCAATAGGCCCTGAGCAACCTGGGACTTCGCAGCGATCACGTCCAGGCCCTTCTCTAGCTCGTGAAGCCGCTCTGCCACTGACTTCCGCTTGAGGCTGTTGGCATTGCCATCGAGATGTCCGTAGATTGTATACTCAGCCTGACGTAGCCGGGCCTCCAGGAGATCAAGAGTCAGCCTAGCTGCATCATCCGCATCGTGATCCATTGGTATTGAATTGGGGTTCTATCGGTTTATGGTTTATGCTCCCAGCAGTTGCTGGAGGACAATTCGTTAGATATGCACTGACCATTTCCCGATAACCAACGCGCCAAGGAAATGACGAGGCTGAGCATATTGTCAAACGGACCACATTGACGTTGGGAATGATGACCTTGGAGTCTTGGGGTCGGCGCTAGTATCGAGATACTTGGCAATCTCCCCAGACAGAACACAAACCATTCTTCATTCTTCATTCTTCATTCTTCATTCTTCATTCTTCATTCTTTATAATTATATAGTTGTCGCTCTCTTCCAGGCATTCGGTTGCCACGGCGCATGTAATGCGTCTGTTCCTGCCCTTCAAACACCGACACTAAACCAGTATTTGTACCAAACCACGTCGACATCCCAGATTGTCACGCCACCAACGATAACAGCGACCACATAAATCGTCAGACTTTCAGCCCCAACGACAGCATATTCCTCCGCGCTCGTGGAAGGATATCGTGATTGATGCAATGACATATTCCACCATCAATACGTCCGACGCCCAGAGCCCTATGGATAACCCCCAGGTTGGAGGGGGGAGACGGTAAGCATGGACACTATGGGTGGTGGTCCTGTGAGCAACAGTCGCTGATATCACCAACTATTCAGGCAGTGGCCTAAAAGGACATACAAAGATGCGGCTTTTTCGGGCCAGGCGTCGTGGATGAGCAGCAACATCAACTTGGTAAATACGAGTATGTTGCCATCGTGTCCGTCGCCCAAGGGCCCCTACTGATTTTTACAAGTTATCGGCGCTGGAACGTTGGCAATGCCCCTCGCGATGGCACATATGGGTATCCTCCTTGGAACAATCGTCATCATATGGTCTGCAATGACTGCTTCATTCGGCCTTTACCTACAATCTCGATGTGCACGCTACCTTGAACGTGGCCATGCATCATTCTTCGCCCTCTCTCAGATGACTTATCCAAGTGCAGCAGTTATTTTCGACGGCGCAATAGCCATAAAGTGTTTTGGTGTTGGAGTCAGCTACCTCATCATTATTGGAGACTTGATGCCCGGAGTTGTTAAAGGATTCAATCCATCAGCGGCAAACGTACCATTTCTGGTTGACCGTCAATTTTGGATAACAGTCTTTATGTAAATCCCCCCACCCACCTATCCCAAAAGATTCAAATCTTGCAATCGTTACTAACTGATATCAGGCTGGTCGTGATACCTCTATCTTTCCTCCGGCGCCTGGATTCACTGAAGTATACGAGCGTTGTTGCTCTCATCTCCATTGGATATCTGGTCATCCTGGTCGTATATCACTTTGCAAAGGGGGACACTATGGCAGATCGAGGACCAATTCGCGTTGTGCAGTGGGAAAGTGCGATTGCGGCGTTCAGTAGTCTGCCTGTGATTGTTTTCGCCTATACGTGCCATCAGAATGTGAGTCTTTCCGATTGAACGCGTCTGACAGGCGGCCTAACAATAAACAGATGTTCTCCATTGTGAACGAGATTAAAGACAACTCCCCTCGCACGTGAGTTGTTTAATAGGCGCCAATTGCTCATCTGCAAATGCTAATAAACTTTTTGCAGTATCAAGAGCGTCATCGGCGCGAGTATCGGGTCTGCTTGTTCTACTTATATTGTAGTCGCAATCACCGGGTATCTGTCATTCGGCAGTGATGTTGCCGGGAATATTGTCGGAATGTGTATGATATACGCTTCCGTTACCTTTGTGCTTTGCTGACATTTCCCAGACGTCCCTAATGTTGCCTCTACAATTGCAAAGGCTGCGATAGTCGTCCTCGTTATATTTTCATTCCCACTTCAAGTCCATCCCTGCAGGGCATCTGTTGTTGCCGTACTTAAATGGCGTCCTGCCAGATGGACAAAGTCGAGAGAAACAAGCGTATCGCCTTCGAGGGCTGCACCACTACTTCCAGGGTCTACTGGCCACTCTGGCCGTGCTGAGGTCATTGGCGACGTCAAGTTTGCTGCCATCACGACCGTGATTGTGGTCCTCAGCTATATTGTAGCTATGTCTGTGTCGTCATTGGACACCGTCCTTGCTTATGTGGGGGCCACTGGCAGTACCAGCATCAGCTTTATTCTGCCCGGTATCTTTTACTACAAGATTTCTTCGCCTGATTCCATTCACCACCAGAGACTTGCAAAGGATGACGAGGATAGTGCTTCGGCCACGAACGGACTATTTGAGGAGAGTGGCGCAGTTAGGAAGGCTTCTCACAAGGAAGCAATTATCCGCTATTTGGCATTGGGTTTGGTCATCTACGGTTTCATCGTCATGGCGACTTGCCTGACTACTAATACTTATTTCTTGATAACGCATTGAATTTAACTTGGTTTTATGCTGGGTTGAGGGGTAGTCTAGCGACAGCATTGTGTTGGGGTTGGCGTTTGTTTGGGGTTCTAAACAGATTGGCTAGATAGAGTTCGTTATTGGGGTTCACGAGGCATGATATATAGATGGGAATCATAAGATTGTACATAAAATTACATAGAGGTCGATTACACAACAGTCCTCTTGGACTGCAAATACAGATGCCTCGAATCCCCTAATCTGTTAAAACGCCACGCTATGCACTGCCCGAGTGAACATCACTACACTGCCTTCCCTGCTTCGCCCGCAGCGGGTTTGGCGCTCTGGTTTCCCCGAAATTTCGGCTCCATAAGCCCAACCTAAATCTAAGTCAGCCTCTGTGTCATTCTATCACCATCCAAAAGAAGCTCTCACCATAGAAAGCAGTCTCCAAGCTGGATCCGACGGCTGTGCGCCAACTCCTAGCCAGTATCTCGCCCTCACCGAGTCCAACCGGATATCCTTAAACAGCCTTCCCTCGCCATCCTCTGGCTTCTTTGGTATCGGGTCATATGTGCCTGCCAATCGTTAGTGACCTACTCCTCCCCAGCTATCGATCCTCCACATACCGAGCACTTCGAGGGGCTTGCTGTTTCTTGCGGTTCTGCAGCACAATCAATTAGTCGTTGTCCCCCCTCAGGTACGCTCCAGATCAACAAACCTCGCTTGCGCCACCACGATATTGTAGAAGGGGGCCTTCCGCCTCCCAAATCGTGCTAGGCGTATCTTAACAACCATGGTGTGCGAATTGACAATGGTCGGGGCTGTGAGGTGGTCGTTCGAAATCTCGGAAACGCGATACGACAACTTTTGGCGGTTGGTGGTCATCGGGAAATTATATCGCCGACCCTCTCTTTGGCCCTTTGCAGCTCCGTAGATTATGTAAGCGTGGGTTGGGTTTCTGGGCGGTATCATGACGTCAGGTTTGCTGGTATTTGGTGCGATTAAATAATTATAAGAGCTAGATTGATGCACGGTTATTGTCCTGTTTATTGTTTCTGACTGAAGATATTGTTCTTTTGGGGCACTTTACAAGTGGCTTTGTTCAATCTACATCTATTTCTCACTTTCTCCTGTTTAGTGGGTTCCGTGGAATATCCAATATATTTTACTGCAAAATGGCTTTGAAGGTAGGATACAGTCCCTTCTTTGGTATATACCCATCTTCGAGATTGAGGCTTACAGGATAAAGACTCTAAGTGCCAAGAGCGCCGCTGCTCTCGATCAAGACCTGATGACTGTCGGTGCCTTTTCCATCGATCAGCTGATGGAACTGGCAGGCTTGTCAGTATCACAAGCTGGTATGTGCGACGGGAATCTTGGGCCGTTGGTCCCACAAGGCTTCTCAGTCTCCTAACTCGTACCAGTCTACCGTCTTCATCCTCCGAGCAGAGGTCGCCGAATCTTGGTTGCATGCGGCCCTGGTAACAATGGTGATAGGCCCCCTCCCTCAAAGTCAGTGGAGAGTAGAGGATACTGACGTGAATACGAAGGCGGAGATGGCTTGGTTGCAGCCCGACATCTTTGGCACTATGGCTATAAACCGACAATATATTACCCCAAGCAAAGCAAGAACAACCTGTATCAGGTAGGTTTGAGTATCTCTCTATCTCAGAATGGCCCCAGTCTCTAGCCACTCGCCCCTATTCTGTGGAAAGCAAGAGCTTCCATGGTCCAGTTTACCCATATTGCTTAGTTTAACGCTTCGTCACTTCTCTCCGTGCTCAGTCTGCCTTGCCTTCTGGTGATTTGGGCGAATGCTAACATGCTCCTCGGCAGCGTTTATCTACTCAGTTGAAAAGCCTAAACATTCCCTTTGTAGACGACTTCCACTCTGCCATTGAGGAGACAGATCATGTGGTCGATGCGATCTTTGGTATGTAATATCATGAAATCAGCGGGGCTTGACATTTCATTGATCGCAAAAATAGGGTTCAGTTTCACTGGCGAAGTGAGAGACCCCTTCGGGCCTGTTATAGAAGCTTTAGCAAAGTCCAAGGTAGATGTAACTTCTGTTGATGCCCCGTCGTCATGGAACATTGAATCTGGTCCTCCAACTTCGGGACCAGGAAAGGATTTTAATCCTACCTCACTTGTCAGTTTAACGGCGCCGAAGCCACTGTCGAAATGGTTCAAGGGAAGGCATTTCTTGGGAGGCAGGTGAGTGGTTGAGCACATTTTTGGGACTTCAAGAATCGTAGCTGACAGCCATAAGATTCGTCAGTCCAGATATTGCAAATAAATACGACCTGTCAATTCCAGAATACCCTGGAATTGATCAGGTTGTGGAGCTTGACAATTCCAACCGGAAGCTATGAGGGAAAATGATGCGAATTATAATATATTTAAATTGCCGGTTATTGACCACGGGTGAAATTCCATCCACTCTTTCATCAACTAATTACCATCTAAGTTGAGTAAATAAATGGCTATACGCGCGCACGGGTGTGGATTCACATTTTTAGTGTTGCGGTATAACGTAGGTCGTGGCCATAACGGGGCTATGGCCATACCGGGAATCTGGCAACCACCACTAAATCAATGGTCACGTGACTACAATTAAAACCTTAATAACTTTTGTACAGTAAAAATATGATAAGTCAATATGCTTTTAGCCAATATTTACGTTATCTCAATATCTTTTTCTGTACGGAAGCTTTTTACATACAAAACACAATACATCCGATATCGTGAGATCCTCCTTGAATATTGACTTATGCTAATCTTTTGAATCTTATAGAATGCCTTTGAGAAAGCTCAATTCAATGACGATTGAACAGCGTCGTGCTCTTCAACAATGGACCATCAACAAAACACCTCGACCTTCCCAAAAAGATTGTATCGCCTGGTTTTTTGAGAAGTACAACATTCGAATTAGTCAATCTACAGTCTCGGAATCCCTTAGCAGCTGATTTATCAACCTTGATGATCTGATTAATACACCAACAATAGGGAAGAGTAATTATACGAATATACGTTGACGGGAAGTGGCTTGGCCAGATATTGAGGCTATTCTTTTTGAGTGGCAAGAATGAATCGATTCAAAAGGAGGTTTTACAACTGCGGAGATCTTACAAGAGAAGGCAAAGCGAATTTGGTCACAACTACCACAATATCAAGGGAAGCCTTCACCAGAGTTTAGCATTGCTTGGATACAGAAATTTGGACTACGTCACAACATCCAGAATAGAAAGGTGCATCAGTCAGTGAGACAGCAGAGGATGAGATGAGGGCTATTCAGACAGTGGCTGGGGAGTATTTAGAGGACAACATTTATAACATGGACGAGACGGGTTTATACTGGAAGATGATGCCATCTCGTGGGCTTTCTACAATGGAGGCTTGAGTAGGAAGGAAGATGGACAAGGCAAGGATGTCTGTCGTATTCTGTTGTAATGCTGCTGGTACTGATCAATGCCTACTTGGTTTATTGGCAAGGTGAAAACGCCTTGAGCTTTACGAAACATCAACGTCATAGCAATGGGAGGGGTTGTGTAATGGTGGGTGCACCAGATGTGAGAATCTAGCCACCCAAGGAAGGGATGATTTTACTAAGACAACACACTGTCTTAGGAAAAAGAGCCAAAGGGTCATAGCTTAGACTATTCCACAATGCAGCAATCAGGTGTATTATAGTGGAGTGGTTTAGACAAGTTGTAACAAATGTTGAGTCTGAGAACTCAGGGATAAGTCAGAGGTTAGCACCTCACTGACTTTTCAGAAACAAGGAGTAACAAGATCAATGCTTGGAAGCTTGGAAAAGACATGGAAGTATGTGATAGTCGATTTACTGTATTGTCTGCTTGCCCTTTCTTAAGGAAAGGGCAATCCTATTTATGCTAAAGGAGTGTAGTTCTCTCATTTTCCAAGACTTTCCATGACTAACCAGGCTTGGTAACTGTAGTCGATGTAAGAGAATCCCATAGAACCATCTCCTAGGTTCCTAGCCTATAAGAAGTGAAAGGAGGTCCAAGGTCAGAGTACCCCTATAGACAAATTATGTCATAACTTAACCAATCTTGTGGGTAACTAAGGAGCGATGACGTGTAATGAATCATAGAGGGTTGTAGAAGCTTTTGGAGCTATCGTTCATGTTCCTAGGCCTCTAAGTTGGTAGAGATATGTCATGTGTAGTATTAGCCCAGTAACTAAGGAGTGATGTCATGTAATGAATCATAGAGGGTTGTAGAGATATGCTATGTGGTCATATCGGTCCAGTAACTAAGGAGCAATGACGTGTAATGAATCATAGAGGGTTGTAGCAATCGTTGAGTAGTATTGCTCTTGTTGTTAGTGTGACAAGCCAAAATATGTATAGTGACTTGTAGATTTGAGGAGGAGATTTCTAAGTTTGCTCTTGAGTTTGATAGCAAACTGAGTGCAACGAATGTCAGTATGACAGTTTGGAGGTGGAATAAGAAGGCTTGGATGAATCAGTTTATTATGGCAGAATGGTTAAGGGCTTTTTATGCTCGTATTGGTACAATATGGGAGGTTCTTCTTACCATGGACAAGTTTTCAGCACATATCATGGCCCTCAAATCGACACTGTTACGATTATAGCTTACAGCTTGTTACGGTTGTTACGGTTGTTACGGGTGCAGCCTTAGCCACCAAGGCTACAACCGCTAAGTGGACAACTGTATATTATGAGGAATAGCCTCACCTTCCTTCCTTCTTCTTCTTCTTCTCTCTTTAGATTCAATCTAGCTTATTATTCTCCGGACTGGCTTCTTGACCTCCGTGACCATCATAACAGACACCACCCCCTGCGAATATCTGAGTTATCTTGCTTCCTCCAAATGCAACAAGTCAATTTCAAGCCCTAGATCAAGGTATCATTGCCTCTGTCAAAGCTCATTACTGTCGACAATGGCTCCTTTACATCCTTGACGCTTTTGAAAGGAATGAAGATCCTGTCCAAACGATGAATATACGACTTGCTATTCGATGGCTTCTTTGATCCTGGAATCACGCCTTACAAACTCGACAATCTATAACTGTTTTCGAAAGAGTACAATTATTCAAAAGCCTTCTTGGTAGGACATTCATTGTAACGCTGACTTCTAAACGATAGAAGACACAGAGGTTCTCTTGCGTAAAGGTTTACTTATCAGAGGAGGCAGGGGATCAGACACAAAGGCTTCAAGTAACACGTTACTAGTATATAACAAATACTGTATTGAGTTGAGCACGAAGCTCCTACTAAGGAAATACTATCTACTTATATAGTGGCGTCGTGCCTAGTGGACTCTTGGGAACTCACTTGAGTCCTCGGAGTCCTGGACTCTTAGGACTCTTCTCATCATCCTGCGAGTCCGTCACGTGCCTAGTGGACTCCTGGGAACTCACTCGAGTCCTCGGAGTCCTGGACTCTTAGGACTCTTCTCATCATCCTGCGAGTCCGTCACGTGATACTTTCGGAACTACTATTCCCCGCTGCCCCTCCAGGTACCAGGGCCGGTCTCATGCGACCTCCCTCCTTCCTGTCCTGTAGTTGGCCAGCCTTCTTGTTCCGTCGTAACATTCATAAGCTCGGTGTCCAGTTTGCTTTCAATGGAAGCAGCGGCCTTCCTGCATTAGCTTCTCAGTTGCAGGGTTCTGATGTGGTGCACGATATAGTCTTGGTGGTCTAAAGCTAGCAGGTGGGTTTGTAGTAGGCTCCTTAGCCTTACTGTAAAAGTCTTGTGGCTTAAAGGCTTGCTGAATAACTTGAGGGACAGTGCGAGCGTGTAAGGAAGGCCATCACGTGCCACCACGTGAGGTCCCTTTCATAAGCGGCCCATAGGGCTCGGTAAAATAGGGCACAAGGTGCATAGATAAAAGGGGTTGGAGGCCTCGGAAGAAGGCCTCCAGTCAATAGTCGATGTATCTACGTAGACCTATTGTGCTTACAGAATACAATACCTTCCTGCCTCCTGACCTTGTTCCCTGGACTCCCGTGAGACCCTTAGGCTTACGATCCTTACAGAGCGTCTTGGATTTGACGTTGCTGGATATTCTGATCAATCAGTAAGCACTTTTGTGCAAAGGCATGAAGAGAGCTTGGATTTATCTCTGCTATTAAAGCAGTCTGCATCTTCGTATTAACCTTATGGTGGAGGTCATCAATGAGGGTCTATTCTGAGTAATCCAGTTCAACAGTGAGTCTCTGGAACTCTGCCCAAAAGGTAGCAAAGTTATCCTTGTTTTGGAAGAGCTTTCTATAAGCGCGTTGTGCAGTAAAGCGGCGGTCTGGATCACTGAAGACTCTGTCTAGGACTTCAAACATTCCCAACAGTTTGAAACTTGTTCTGAGTAGATTGAAGGCGTGGATTGATGTGAGAGGAGGCTTTGCCACCTAGTCTGCTTTGCACATAACCCATCTGAAGGGCTGGAGTAGGAAAATGGTCAAGGTTCGCCTCAAGCTTCATCTTTATCTTAATGCTCCAATCGTCATAAGCTGGCTCTATTCCGTCTGTGAGAGTAGGAGGGTCCGGGATCTTGGTGGATTTCTGGTGTGATTCTCTATTGCGAGTAGTGCTGCTTTTTGACTTCTCATTTTCAAGATATTTCACAACAGCAGCTTGTCCTGCAATTGTCTGCTCATGAGCTTGGATAACCTCTTGTAGCTGGCTGATATTGTCAACATATGTAGCCTTCTTCTCTCGACTCTTCTGGAGGGTAGTATTGTAGAGCTGGGTGACATGATCATAATCCTCCATCATCTGCTTTTGGATTTGAAGTGCAGCCTCTCTCTGGGCTTGGCTCCAGGTGCTCACAACTGAGAGATCTTTAAGCTCCCAAATGCGAAGGGTAGCTTGGTGTTCTGGATCCTCGAGTAGTGTTTCCCTTCTATTGTAGGTGTGGCTTTCTAAGCAGTCCTCATTGCTTGTAGTAGATTGGTTTCTTGTCCTTGATCTTGACTCCTGTCACGGATGACATGTCCTTGTGCATCGCGTGCCATTATAGCAGGCTTCACTTCTTGTCCTTGGAATTGTCAAGGTCAGGATCTTCTTCTGACTTTGTTGGTATCAGGAACTAGACACGTATGTGGTGAAGGCCCTATTATGCAGTTGTCAGCTGTACGAGCCACTCAAGAGGAGCGCACTTCTGTCACGGTTATATCCTTGTTGAGGGAGCGTCACGGAAAGGTCTAATTCTGCTGATATAATGTTCTGGGTTCTTGTCATACTGACATTCGTTGCACCCAGTTTGCTATCAAACTCAAGAGCAAACTTAGAAATCTCCTCCTCAAACCTACAAGTCACCATACATATCTTGGCTTATCACACCAACAACAGAAGCAATACTACTGAACGATTGCTGCAAACTCTTCTACTACATCTGTTTATGCTACATACATCACAGCATATCATTTGGACACTCATTGAACAAGTTATTAAGAAAATCTCCTCCTTAAGGGGGTGGGCCAATACTACCACATGGCATATCTCTACCAACTAGAGGCCTAGGAACATGAACGATAGCTCTAGAAGCTTCTACAACCCTCTATGATTCATTACATGTCATCGCTCCTTAGTTACCCACAAGATTGGTTAAGTTATGACATAATTTGTCTATAGGGGTACTCTGACCTTGGACCTCCTTTCACTTCCTATAGGCTAGGAACCCAAGAGATGGTTCTATGGGATTCTCTTACATCGACTACAGTTACCAAGCCTGGTTAGTCATGGAAAGTCATGGAAAATGAGAGAACTACACTCCTTTGGCATAATAGGATTGCCCTTTCCTTAAGAAAGGGCAAGCAGGCAATACAGTAAATCGACTATCACATACTTCCACGTCTTTTACAAGCTTCCAAGCATTCATCTTGTTACTCCTTGTTTCTGAAAAGTCAGTGAGGTGTTAACCTGTGACAGACTCAACATTTGTTGCAACTTGTCTGAACCACTTCACTACATCACACACCTGATTGCTGCGTTGTGGAATAGTCTAAGCTATGACCCTTTGGCTCTTTTTCCTAAGACAGTGTGTTGTCTTAGTAAAATCATCCCTTCCTTGGGTGTGCTAGATTCTCACATCTGGTGCACCCACCATTACATAATCCAGATATTGAGAGTATGAAGGCATATTTAATATCTGTATTATCTTCTACTCTACAAAATACGAATTGACGATGCCTATTTACTGACTTTACCCCTATTTTTAGCCCCGAACGCTACATTCCTTGGCACTGTTAGCCCGGCAAGGACTTTTGGTACACGCCTCTGTAGAAACATTTCGTTTTTCTTATCTTATCTTATCTTATCTTATCTTATCTTATCTTATCGCTTATATAAACTATACCTAATTAGGTAATAACTAAGGCTAATAAGGTATAGATTATAGTCATGATTATAAATCATGATTATGATTATACGCTTTATAAATAATCATGATTATGATTACGACTAAATAATCATGATTATAATTGATTTTCTAACCCTGGCGGCTGCCGCCTAGAGATGTCTATTTTGAGCTTTGAGAGATGCAGGAGGACAGCAAACGCAAGGGCGAATTAACGGCCATGCAAAGGACGTTTTTACTCGCAGTAATCGGGGTTATGGGTATCAATTTGTATATTTTTCGGAAAATAAAGTGACGTTGCACACGGTAGCTCCCTAGGCCCCCTAACATAGTAGTAGTTATGACCATACATGCCTCTATTCTCGAAATAAAGGAGTTGATGGTGTCATATGCTAACAACCATGGGAAAGAAAAAGGAATCCCTCAACTCGTCTACGTGCCAAGGAGGGCCAATCCAAAGCGGCAGAGTGTCTCATGCAATACATATGCATGGGATCTTCCCGTACAGCCGTAGTCTGGTGGAGAGAACCATCATATATGGGTTTGGTCTCCACAAACCCTATTCAAACCTTTTTCCCCCAATATTAATATGTGAAAGGCGTAGCAAAACACGACCGCCTCGCAATCTCCAGTTCTGTTGTCAGCTATTACTAGCCATTGATAGCCACTGCGCGAGACTGCAAAAGGAGCTCGGTGAAGGAGCGCGTAACCTTCTTTTCCAAAACTTCCGCGCACGGGGAAATTTCCCACGTCACAAGAAAATTCGCCCAGCCATTTTCACGTGACGTGACCTAGTTTCTCTGTCAAGAGGGGAGACCGCTGCTGGGGCCATCCACTCCCTATTCCATACTCACATAGGGGCTGAGAGATAGGGCTGTGGAGCCACAACTAGACCCTCAGAGAAGGCTATCACGGACCGGAGGCAAAACGTAGAGGTACAGAGCCAATTGGCTCAACCGGACCACTCCTTGATCATGCCCAACAGGTACCAGAGGTTTGACACCTCCACGCCGCCGGGGACGTGCTGTTTCTGACCGCATATTATAGCAACAGGAGGGACTATCATATCGTCGTCCTGGGCGCAGGTATGACCCCCCCCACACGGACTTGGAGAGCACCTGAAGCTAACGCGGCACAAGGGGGCGTGGGCAAGAGTTGCCTTACAGGTACTTTGTCTACATGACACTGAATCCTGGCAGCGTAAACGAGTATCTGACACCCAATATAGCGCAGTTTGTCCAAAATGTGTGGATAGAGAGCTATGATCCCACCATCGAGGATTCGTACAGGAAGCAGATCCAAGTCGATGTAAGCCCGCCCTGCCAATGTCTCCGTTTTCCCAACTAACATCACTTTCCGCAGGGGAGGCAATGCATGTTAGAGATGTACGGAACCCCCTCCTGATCAGGGCCCCAAGAGCCCCCAACTCACGCCTCACAGCCTCGACACCGCAGGAACTGAACAGTTCAGTAAGTCCACCTAGAGACCTCGCCCACGCGATCCTCTCTTGCTGACCCTCCCACCTAGCCGCAATGAGGTAGGACCAGCCCCCTACGCCGCCACCGCACGCGTGATCCCAGAATCCTAATGCCGCCCCTAGGGAACTGTACATGAAGACGGGCCAGGGCTTCCTCCTTGTCTTCTCCATCACCAGCCGCAGCAGCCTGGAGGAGCTCTCGGAGCTGCGCGAGCAGATCATCCGCATCAAGGACGACGAGCACGTGCCCATCGTCATCGTGGGGAATAAGTCCGATCTCGAGGGCGACCGCATGGTGAGTCGGTCCAAGGCTTTCGCGCTGAGCCAGAGCTGGGGAGATGCGCCGTACTACGAGACGTCGGCGAGGCGACGAGGTGAGTTTGCGTCCCTACCCTGTCCACGCTGTCCCTGGAGGCAGTCACCACGTGCGGAATCTCATGCATACAGCGAACGTCGATGAGGTCTTCATCGATCTCTGTCGGCAGATCATCCGCAAGGGCAACGACGTGACGCAGGAGCCGGAATACGAGCCCGAAGCGCCGAAGAAGGAGAAGACGCGCCGGCACCTGCTGCGCCGGAAGGACGGGCCTTGGTGCACGATCCTGTGAGCGTTGAGCGGGTATGCTGCGGGGAGGGGCGCGAGGGGCAGGGGATGAGGGATGGTCCGCCCGGCCCTTAGATAGTTGGTGCGAGCCTGAAAGGAGTCTGGTATAGACAAAATCTCAAGATATGCGGGAGCGCGGTTTGATGGATCTAGGACATAATTATATGTACAGGGATATGATCTCTACAGTCTGTCTCCTGGCGAATAAAGCACAGTGCTATCTCTATGCCTCGGCTAATGCGTCACTGCTTGTATTTGCGGCATTCTGCTGGTGCCAGAGATGATATTGCATGTGTTATGCTACCAGTGCGTGTGCCCGTCCATGTGCGACTTTCTCAGAGGTATCACCAGGTAGACTTCAACAGTCGCGGAAAAAGCGTACCAACGAATGATGTGATGATGTGAACCTGCAATAGAACCGAACAAAAGTATGCCGTGGAGCAACAACAAAAGTCTATATGTAGGTATTCCGAATCAACTGAGCACACTCCCTAGCTATGTGGGCATCCGGTCTCTAAAATGATCGAAAACAAAAAAAATCAAAAAGGCGCCGTGAACCCGAGCACCCCCTCGCGTTCCCCGCAAACACAAAACAAGACAAGACCGCAACAAATAAAAAGGGATTGAATAGCTTTCAACACACAGCCATTTCCGTTTAACATACATATGCTCCCAGCGCAAGAAGCTAGCCGTGCTTCCCTAGTTGGGAGGGGGATAAAAAGGTATGCCTGCCTGTCCATGCGCCCAACATGCAAATCCCACATGATGCGCCCAGATCGTACAGATGATTTCAAAAGTTTGCAAAAATAAAGAGCAGAAACAAAAGGTAATTATGTTGATATCTCGCCTACTGCGCCATCCCTAAAAATGAGAGCGAGAAACGAAGAGTTTGTTTCAAAAAGGACAGAACACCAAAAACGAAGAAAAGAAAATTGAACTCCGTTGCTAGCCATGCAATCCCATGCCCCCCATAAAAATTGTATCGTCCCACAGAACCTTGTGCTAATGTGTGTCTGCCGATATTGTGCGCTCCGTAGTTGTAGATGCGTTGTGTGGCATCATGATTCGAAAAGCGCCACGCTATGAAAGATGCACCAAGTGTAAATGCGACGAGATAAATCCGCATTATTGCATGCCAGTGTAGGAAGGATGGTAGGGGATGAGGTCCTGCGCTTCCCGAGCCCATAAACACCAGATTGCCATATTAATTGTGCCGCCAAATCCACATTAAAACGATCCCAAACGCCGTGCCAGCAGGACCATGCTGCTTCTTTGCCATCTATCTTCCCATCATGTAGGCTGGAGGGAAGCCATTATTTGCGCCGTTCGTCGTCGCAGCCTGGCTCATGGCAGCAGCCATGGGGCCATTGTAAGGAGGGCCATTCCACCCATTCGCTGCATTATTATATGCTACTCCGTAGTAGCCGTTTGTCGCAGCCATGGGATTCATTACAGAACCGTATTGGACCCTACTCGGCCCAAGACCCGGAGGTGCTGCAAGGCCTGGTGGGGGTCCGTTTGCCGTGCTGAAACCAGGCCCGGTGATGTTGTTGTTCATCATGCCGTTCATGTTCTGCATGATGCCGGGAGGTGCAGGAGGACCAGGTGGGCCTGAACCTTGGCCAGATCTAACGCCGAGTGGATTTTTGGAAAAGCTCAAGCGGATGCCTCCTTTGACGCTGTTGTGCAACGGGTGTCCATAAAGCTCATGCAGGGCCTTGGTGGCAAATGATACGTCTTCGAACTCAACAAAACACATGGGCCCATTTTGCTTTGTCCTAAAGCACAACCGCTTGTAGCCGCGCTGCTTTGAGAACATAGCCTTGAGTTCGTCTTCCGATGTGTCTATTGGAAGATTGCCGACATAGAGGGTGTTGCATGGAGGATTTTGATCTGCCGGATTCACAGGCGGGAAGCTATGCCTCGGATAGTGCTGATTTCCAAGCTGGTACGGAATCGGTAGCGCGGCGTTTCTCATCATAGTGGATGACATAGTAGCCGTCTGAGGTTGCATGGATGGCATGTGCGTCGATGCCGTGTAGTTTGGTGCTGAAGGTGCCGGGGTAATGTGATTCGTGTTCAGCGACAAGCTGCTCATCCTCGAAATTGGTAACTGTGGGTTGGTTGCGCGCCGTGGTTGAGCTGATGCAGCTCCGTTCTCTGCATAAGCCACTGGGTCTTTCAGAAGCTCACCCGTTTCATCGTCGTCCATGGTGTCGTTGTTTATCAGTGTCTTGCCACTGATATGCGTTCGCTCGGTCAAATGATTGCCGATAGGAGACTGCGGTGAGAAGAGGCTTTGATAATGCGCACTGGAATCGGGATTTGATAGTTCGTTGCTCCCATAAAGGGTAGTGTTTGTCGGTGATATTCTTTCCATAGTCTGAAACGTATCGTTGAACCTGGATGACTGGCGCTGTGTTGGCCCTGCTGATGAAGCTGAGGATGTATTGCTTGCTGGGCCTCCGTTGAACGTTGAGTTTGATGCGCCGTCCACGGTGTATTTCCTCGGCATGGGTGGACTGCTTGGGAATATCTCGACGACCATCTGCGCGTCGTTGGAAATATTCAGCTTGCCGTTGAGAAGTCGCTGCGCCTCATGCGCGCCTGCAGGAGATTTGAAATGTAAAATCGCAGATGTGAATCCCGCATCCTCTGATTTTTCTGTTGGGAGAACCTCTGCCTCACTGAACTCCTTTGACCATACGACCATGGAGCGCAGTGAATCTTCGGTTGTCTTGAGTGGTAGTTTGCGGATGAGAATCGCCGAAGTCGACGACAGCAGCGTAGATGTGTCCTGCTGGCCAGCGTTTGACGCGCCGTCGCGATCGAACACGGTCATGGAGGACATTTGTAGTTGTTGGTACGCTGCTTGGGATCCGTTCGGCGCGGCGCGATATTGCTGCCCTTGCGGGACAAAGACCGGGGCATCCATCGCATGCTTCACCGTCGCGTTATTCAGGAAGGGACTCGTATGGCTCGAAGAGAGCGGCTGGTTCTGGGCCGACGACATTCGCGGGCTGGATCTGCCCGAGCTGAGGCTGCCGACGCTCAAGCCTTGCAAGGCGGCGCAGAGATAAGATGAAACCGAAGTACCAGGGCTGGCTCGAGGTGATGCGACAGGACGTATCACGGGCGCAACGAGGCTCAGACTTTGCGCGCGTTAGGATGAACGGTCACCATTGACCTCCCCAATAAAAGTCGCGATATAAATAGTTGAAAGGTGACAGAGCGTCGCAGAATATTTTTTGTCGTTATCAAGATGCGATCGGGGCTTCGAGAGGTGGGGGGGCGGGCGTTTATCGTTGATGAAGGCGGGTGGTCGCAGTGGTATGTAGGGCGATATGAGTCGCGTAATCACGGAAGAAAGGTGGCGATTGAGGCGAGAGGTGAGAGGTGGAGAAATAAGAGGGAGAGGAGGAGACAGGCTGAGGATTATTTTTGAAGGGGGGGGATTGGTGGTGGGTGGAAGGGGAGATTGGGGGGTAGAAAGGGTGGTTGGTGGTGGGGGGGGTGAGAAGGGTAGTAGTGGTAGTAGTGGTGGTAGTAGTAGTGGTAGTGGTAGTGGTAGTAGTGGTAGTGGTAGTAGTAGTGGTAGTGGTAGTGGTAGTGGTAGTGGTAGTGGTAGTGGTAGTGGTAGTGGTAGTGGTAGTGTAGTAGTGGTAGTGGTAGTGGTAGTGGTAGTAGTGGTAGTGGTAGTGGTAGTAGTAGTGGTAGTGGTAGTAGTAGTGGTAGTGGTAGTGGTAGTGGTAGTGGTAGTGGTAGTGGTAGTAGTAGTAGTAGTAGTAGTAGTGGTAGTGGTAGTGGTAGTGGTAGTGGTGGTAGTAGTAGTGGTGGTAGTAGTGGTGGTAGTAGTAGTGGTAGTAGTAGTGGTAGTAATTGTAATGATGCTATGCCAGCCATGCCATATAACCAACTCTCTTGGTAGATTGGTAGAAAGGGCTGTATGGGCTTATGGGCTTATGGGCAGAGGAGTCTAGGTAAGTTAGAGCTACTAGAGCTACTAGAGCTACTAGGGCTACTAGGGCTACTAGAGCTACTAGACCTACTAGAGCTACTAGAGCTACTAGACCTACTAGACCTACTAGAGCTACTAGAGCTACTAGAGCTACTAGACCTACTAGACCTACTAGACCTACTAGACCTACTAGACCTACTAGACCTACTAGACCTACTAGACCTACTAGACCTACTAGACCTACTAGACCTACTAGACCTACTAGACCTACTAGACCTACTAGACCTACTAGACCTACTAGACCTACTAGACCTACTAGACCTACTAGACCTACTAGACCTACTAGACCTACTAGACCTACTAGACCTACTACACCTACTACACCTACTAGACCTACTAGACCTACTAGACCTACTACACCTACTGGTGGTTGGTGGTAGTTGCTCGTACATAAGGACTAAAGCTTAGGTGTGTGCCTTTCGCCGCCTGCCATTCGCTAAGCTATGGTAAGTACCAGCCCGAGTTGTATATCTACTAGTTGTTGTCGTCGTACCAAGCTAAGAGGTGGTTCGCTCCCTTGAAAAATGATAATAGAGGAATTGCCCACCTATACGAGTTGATTCCTTGGATAATGAACACCCATTCTCGATTTCCTAGCTGTGTAGTTTTCGGACGATTCCTTGACTCTGAGCTAGTGACTACCTTGGCAGTAGCAATCATTTCCATTAAGAACCCAGCTTCATCGAAGTTGTATATATCCTCCTCTTGAATTCCGTACTTTACGAGCTTAAACTAGTCTCCGATAATCACTAGATCTTCACAAAAGAGCTCTTTTATAATGGTATTTTCGTCCGAACTTCGTTTTAATCTCCGTACGACGCGTGATAAAGTTCGAGATCCAATTCTTACCTACAGGTGACGCGTCGCGTTTAGCGAGGAGTAGGTCCGCCATTTCTTGTACAGCAGCTAGCCGAGGTGGGAATCCACGTGAATCGAGCTTGAGAATATATCGTACGATAGCTTCTTCTTCTTAGGAAGTAAGCCTTTGAGTATTTGAGGGAGTGTCGCATCGTGAAGCTATTCCGTTAATTCGACGTTGAAGTGTTGTAAGAGGTATATCGTACAACGCTCTTAAGTTGGCTTGATTTAAATGCTTGTATAGCTAAAAGAAGCCTATATCTACTCTCTGCCTACACAGCAAAGAGAAAGTACACTGACGGTGGTGATTTATCTTCATATGATCTATTCTCTGTTTTAAGAGCAAGAAGGCTGCATCAGCTGTGCCTTGGTATTTGTTCGCACTCTAGTGCTTTATCTACCTACAACATATGCTCTTTGATATATCCATGTCACTCACTTTGATCCATATCTATCACCAACGCTCTTCTTCCAGCCCTCACAGTTGATGGACAGGAGCTCCCGCCACCACCAAGCTCGACCTGATCTGCGCGATCTCCTCGTCGCTCAGCCCGCACTGCTCACGGATATACCCTTCAGCCCCACCATACCTCTCCCGGATCATCTCCAGCGTTGCCATCATATTCTCAGACCTGCATCCCGTAAGTTTCCACCTCAAGAGTAAGGACAGCCAACCTACCTTGCACTAAGCATATTCAACGCGCCAGTCCTATCAGAAGGCATTGTGTGCGACGCCATGAGGCCAGCGATGACCTCCTCTCTCCAATGAGCTAGCCCGACTTCCGTCAGGGAATACTCACGCGCAACGGTCTCGTCGTCGGTACCGCAGAGGGAGAGAATCAGCGCGCAGAGGACGCCAGTCCTGTCTTTCCCAGCTGTACAGTGGAGTAGCAGCGGCGACGTCGGCCACTGTGCGATGTGGCGTAGAATTTGCGTGTATGACTGCGGGGCATTTTTGAGAATATCCCCATATGCCGCAGTGAATCCCTGGACGAGCTTAGCTATTTCCCCATCCCTCTAAGTCTGAGCAATGCCCCTCCAGGTCGTCTACTCTATCCACTGGAAGAACCTACCTCGGGACTCCCGCTCTGGTAATTCTTGAACCGAACCATGAGGTTTTGGGGGCTGTAATCGACGTCTGTAAATACCGGCGCAAACACCCTCTTACTACCCTCAAACTCAACTACACCACCCCTACCAGCCGCCTCAGCCTTCTCAATCTCAGGATTCGATCGTAAGTCATAGACATGGGTGATTCCCAGCGACTTAATCGTTGTCCATCCCTCCTCGTCGATCCGGCTGCTGGGAGCACCAGCGCGATAAATTACCCCGCGGCGGATGGAATTCTTGCAGCCAGGCACGGGATACCCGCCCAGATCCCGCAGATTAGGCAGACCTTCTACCTGGATAAAGGGAGGCGATGGTAAGGCCGCACTGCGCGAGCTGGAGGTAGACATTTTGGAATGTTGGTTTCTGAGAAATTTACAACTGTTCCTCTGATGGGTCTGGACGTAGATAGACCGACTATCACAGCCGAGGTTCATCAACCGTAGCTTGGTACACTACATTTCTATTTGGAATCCTTGGCAATTATATCGATTTGCCTAGCTTTTGGGGCCCTGAGACTACCATAACGGCAATGCACCATGCAGAGACTATCTTGCATCTTAGACCTCATGGCCTAGTAGCTGAATGCGGAGAAGAAATCGAAAGGTATGAGGTGGGTCACGTGATTATGCGAGCTCAAAGCTCGACTCTTGCCACCTTCAATATCAACTTAACATGATGACCGGGGGAGTACTATCATTCACCTTTTCACATCGAAAAATGAGGCACAATGCCTAACGAAAGCCACCCCCCTTCCGGAGAATCACCTCCCGCCGCGCCGTCCAAAGATCACCCCCCCGATGTCGTCCCTCATACCACTACCACCGCCAACCCCTCCTCGCCCCCCGATGAAAAGAGACAACGCATCCGCGTAAAGAACCGCAGGAAAATGTACATCGACACCCACCCCTCCTACGTCGACTCCCCCGACCTCGAAATCGTCGGTAAGTAACCTCCCCCCCCCGCTTGAACGATCAGCAACTAACCAACCCCCCAGACCCCCTCCTGTACGACCGCTGCGTGCGCCGCTTCCAGACCAACGCCGAGCGCGAGGCCGACGGGCGGGCTAAGGGGTACTCGGGGGTGCTGGAGGCGGATCTGTATCGTTCCGAGGCCAAGCTCGCCGCGCTCTCCGGGCGGGGAATGGGTGATGATGGGGCGGAGAGGCGGCAGGAGGACCTAGCTTATGTTCCTGGACCTGATGGGCAGGTGTTGCCGGAGGATGAGGACGAGGTGCCGAAGACGAAGGAGGAGGGGATGGAGAGGTGGAGGGAGGCTATGACGTTACGGTTTTTGAAGGGCGGGGATGAGGAGTTTGATTATGGGGAGGTGGATGGGAGGGAGGAGTGGGATGTCATTGAGCAGGAGGACGCGGAGGAGCATTGGTTTGAGGAGGAGGAGCCGGGGTGGGTGGAGGGGAGTCCGGAGGATAGGGAGAAGAGGGGGGAGACTGGAATACAGGATTTCTAATATAATTATTTTCGAGTATCAAATGTAGAGAGAGAGAGCAAGTGTTAGAACTAGCAAAAGTGAATCAATCCACTTCTGCTGTAGTTCTTATAGTCGGCTATATTATGACAGCAAGGAGAAGAGAATCATGTGACGGGTATTACGTGACACTTGACCCGCTAGACGAAATTTGCATGAAGCGAGCTGTAGCTTCAAAGAGACCACCGAGAAAATCTATTTAAACTCCGTCCACATCCCACCCACCTTAAAATGCCACCCTCCTTAATACCGAAGAATTGTTCTTCAATTTTATCTTCTTCCCAATCGTCATGTAGGAGGGGAACCATCAGAGTTGCGCAGCCTCTGCGCTCGTTCTCTGCCTCAACCAAAAACCAAGGTCGTACGCACCTACGCCGGAAGCTGTACTCCTGGCTCAATGGGCCAGGAGCGGCATTCAAGGAGCCGATGGAAGGGGCCAACTACCTTGGAGCCTATGACAACAAGGGAAACTTGAGGAGGGCGGCGTTTGCTACTCCTGGAGAACCTCTACCGCCACCAGGGGGGCTTGATCTCAGGCCGTTCCCGAAAAACGATGACTTCGTGTCACAACCTGTCACTAGCGAAGCGTTGAGGGAAGCGGTATGGGAGAGGATCATGAAGAATGGCCTCTCTGTCAAGGAAGTCAGCAAGGAGCTCGGGATCGAGATGAGCCGCATTGGCGCTATTGTGCGGTTAAAGGAGGTTGAGAAGGCATGGCAACGTCAGGTAAGACTCCATATCTCTCTACTCAATCCCACCAGACTTGTCACCAAGGACTGAAGACACTTTATGATGATTGTATAAAATCGATTAGTCTATAAGACAAAACACATGGTTACAATACAAACGCATGCGAGCCTCTCTGAATAGTGTTCCCCAACATTTTGGATTTTAACAGACAGCTTTTTATATTCAGCAAAGCTAACATCCAAACCAGGGCAAACGTCTCGCCAAACCATACTCGAGAGCACTCATGGAAATGCTGCCCCAGACCCCCTACCCGAATAAGTCCTGGTCCGGCGCAGTGCAACCCCACGAGTCCATCAACGACCTCCCCATCCACGCCGCCACCCAGCAGCAGATCTTCTACCCCACCTCCGAATCCAGACAATTCACCCGCGTCGACGCAGCCCGCATCTTCGCTGACGGCCTCCTCCCGGCCGACCTGCGCGTCCCCCACCCCGAATTAATCGAGGACGACCGCCTCCGCCTCCAAGGTGTGGGCGCCAAGGACATCGCTGAGCGCGCCGAGGCGCGCAGCAAGGAGGCCTACGAGAAGAAGGCTGCTGCCGACGAGCGCAAGCGCGCCCGCGAGGCCGCGGCTCTCAAGGTCATCCCGGGTGTGAGGTGGGACTTCAAGTTCCGCGAGGTCAGCGTCGATGCTGCTGGTGAGACTGGCAGAGGCAAGAACGGCACGGGCTGGAGATACGGTGTCCCGCTTTACGACAGGCGGAGGGGCGAGGTCAAGATCCCTACCAGGGTGGCCTGAGCGTGTTTGGATAGGTGGCCTGTATGAAGTAAAGTTGATGTTTAAAGGGCGTTTTTGGGGAGCATTCATTCAGCCTTGTACAGTGGATGGGAGCATTTTCACTGAGCGTCAGAGCGCTAGGTATTATATAGCTTGTAAGATGAGAGATATTATATGTATAGATTGATTGGGCCACTGCTGCCTGTATCTCAAGAATCGAATCATATTCAAGAGATATATATGAATTGAGTTTACTAGAATGATGCTCTGTTTTAAAGAGTGTTTATCGTCTGTAGCATTTGCTATCACTGTTGTTGACCTTCACGATCCTGATTATGCCAGGTTATAAGGGGCAACATAGTTCAATATTTAGCATAAATTATAGATTGTTTTTTTTAGATTCCAACGTCACTGTTTCTACATCTACATCCTGAAGACACCAAACTTGGTGGGCTTAACCTCGTTCTTCCCACCCATTGCAGCCATCAGTCCCAATCCCAAAACATTCCTCGTCTGGCTGGGCAAAATCACACCATCGTCCTATCTCCAAGTTAGCAAATGCCCTCACACAGCCACCAACACACGAAATCAAACTTACCCATAACCTCGCACTCGAGAACACCGCCTCACTCTCCCTCTCTATCCTCGCCTTCAACTCCGGATCCACCGTCTTCCCCACCGTCTCCATCACCTTGCTCAGCTGCTCCCCTCCCATCACCCCAATCTTCGCATTCGGCCACATCCACATGAACCTCGGACTATACGCACGCCCACACATTCCATAGTTCCCCGCACCATTACTCGCGCCCACCACGACCGTGAACTTGGGCACATTCGCGCACGCCACCGCCGTCACAAGCTTCGCGCCATTCTTCGCAATCCCCTCGCGCTCCGCATCAAGCCCGACCATAAACCCCGAGATATTCTGGAGGAAGACGAGCGGGACGCCGCGCTGCGCACACAGCTCGATGAAGTGCGCGCCCTTGAGCGAGCTCGACGAGAACAAAATCCCATTATTCGCCACGATGCCCACCTTGTGGCCGTAGATGTGCGCGAACCCCGTGACGAGGCTGGATCCGTAGTCCTTCTTGAACTCGGAAAAGTGCGAGCCGTCGACGATGCGGGCAATGATCTCGTGGACGTCGAGCGGGCGGCGCAGGTTGGTGGAGGCGATGCCGATGAGCTCCTCCGGGTCGTGGAGGGGCTCCTCGTAGGTGGTTGGCGCGGGGAAGGGCTTGTGGGGCCAGTTGAGGTTGGAGATGGAGCGGCGCGCGAGGATGAGCGCGTGCGCGTCGTCGACGGCGAGGTAGTCTGCTACGCCCGAGGTGGAGGTGTGCATTTGCCCGCCGCCGAGGTCCTCTTGGCTTACTACCTCGCCGGTGGCGGCTTTGACAAGGGGTGGGCCCGCGAGGAAGATGTGGCCCTGCCCGTCGACGATGATGCTCTCGTCGCTCATGGCGGGGACGTAGGCACCGCCTGCGGTACAGGGACCCATGACTACGGCGATCTGGGGGATTCCTTGGGAGCTCATCCGCGCTTGGTTGTAGAAGATTCGGCCGAAGTGGTCGCGGTCGGGGAAGACGTCTGCTTGGTGGGGGAGGTTGGCACCGCCGGAGTCGACCAAGTATATGCAACTATTGTGAGGCATCGTTAGAAGGCTGCTGTGACGACACCACGAGAGGTTATTAAGAAGAATATCGCCTAGGAATACTTACGGTAGGTTATTATCCTCTGCAATCGCCTGCGCCCTCAAATGCTTCTTCACCGTAATCGGGTAATATGTCCCTCCCTTCACCGTACTATCGTTGGCAACAATCATGCACGTCACTCCCTCCACAACACCCACGCCCGTAATGATCCCTCCCGCCGGCACGTCCTCCCCATACAGCCCCTCCCCCGCCAGCGACGACAGCTCCAGGAACGACGTCCCCGGATCAATCAGCGCCGTCACACGGTCTCGCGGCAGCATCTTGTTGCGCGCGATATGCTTGTCCCTGGCCTTGGGCGGGCCGCCCTGGCGAACCTTCTTTGTGAGTGTCTCGAGCCGCGCGATCACCTCGCCCATCTGCTGCGCATTCTCCTGGTACTCCGGTGAGGAGGGGTCGACGTTCGTGGGGAGCACGGAGATGGCATTGGCCTGGTGGGGAGGCACGAAGGTCGCTGCTCCGCGGATTGAGCTTCTTGAGGTGAGAGGGGTTGCTGTTGCTGGTGCGCGGTGCTGGGATGCACGGAGGGTGCTGGCGAGCAGCTTCCGTGAGGCGCGGCTTGCAGACATGATGTTCGGATATAATATATATTCGATACTATCGCGAGGATTCTCGAAAGTAATCAAACTTGCAAGAATCTAGAGTTAAATGTTTTCGTGGCCTGCATTCGTTCGTCAGTGTCTAAGCCCGAGGTTGGCGGCGGAGGAAAGGCTATCGACGGCTTTCTGCGGCAGCCGTGGTTATCAGGATCTCCCCGCCATAAATGATGATTGCAGGTGTAACATTTTAACATTTCAACCTTGTATAATATAAGTTTCTCAGTTCGAGATTCTATATCATAACAATTACAACTATAACAGCACATAACTCACATCATGGCCGCCCCCTCAGTCCTCTTACGCCGGACTCTCCGCCCTCTCTCGAACATCAAACCCCAATCCCTCGCTCCGCTCATAGCCTCCCGCAACGCCTCCTCCAAACACCCCAAAGGCTTCGTTGCCCCGACCCCCTCAGACCTCGCCGAGCTGCGCGAACGAGTCCAAGAATTCACACGCCGCGAGATCCCCGAAGAAGTCGCCGCCCACACCGACAAATCCAATGAGTTCCCCGCGACAATGTGGAAGAAGCTCGGCGACGCAGGCCTCCTCGGCATCACAGTCGACGAGGACGTCGGCGGTCTCGCAATGGGCTACCAAGCCCACGCCATCGTGATGGAAGAGCTCTCCCGCGCCTCTGGCAGCATTGCCCTCTCCTACGCCGCACACTCCCAGCTCTGCGTCAACCAACTCCAGCTCAACGGCTCGCCCGCGCAGAAGGAGAAGTACCTCCCCGGCCTGATCGCAGGCGACAAAGTCGGCGCGCTCGCCATGTCCGAGAGCGGCGCCGGTAGCGACGTCGTCGGCATGCGCACGACGGCCAAGAAAGTCGATGGCGGCTATGAACTGAACGGCACCAAGATGTGGATCACCAACGGCCCCGACGCGGACTACATCGTCGTGTACGCGAAGACCGAGCCCGAGGCCGGCTCCAAGGGTATCACAGCCTTCATCGTCGAGACGGCCTCCTCGCCCGGCTTCGCCGTCTCGCGCAAGCTCGACAAGATGGGCATGCGCGGCAGCAACACCGGCGAGCTGGTATTCGACTCAGTCTTCGTTCCCGAGGCGCAGATCCTGGGCTCCATCAACCGCGGCGTCAAGGTGCTGATGGAGGGCCTTGATATCGAGCGACTCGTGCTGTCGGCGGGTCCGCTGGGCCTGATGCAGGCGGCGCTCGACGTGACGCTGCCGTTCACGCACCAGCGCAAGCAGTTCGGCGTGCCGATCGCGCACAACCAGCTCGTGCAGGGCAAGCTGGCGGATATGTACACGAAGCTGCAGGCGAGCAGGGCGTATACGTATGAGACTGCGCGGAGGGTGGATGAGGTGGGGGAGATCCGCACGCAGGATTGTGCGGGGGCTATTCTGTATGCGGCGGAGCGCGCGACGGAGTGTGCGCTCGATGCGATACAGTTGTTGGGCGGGATGGGGTATGTGGAGGAGATGCCGGTGAGCAGGATTTTGAGAGAGTGAGTCTTGTTTCTGGGTTATGTGTTGGGATGAAAGAGTGCTAATTGTGGTGTCTAGTGCGAAGCTTTATGAGATTGGAGCGGGGACCTCGGAGATCAGGAGGATGGTTATTGGGAGGGCTTTTAATAAGGAGTATGCTGGGCAGGGGCTATAAGGTCATGGTTGGCGGGGAATGGACGGCGCAGGTGGCTCTGAGTAGGAGGTATTGGAAACCCAACAGCATCATTACACGGTATGGGGTCATATGAAAGGAAGTGTGATTCTATATAGAACCATCAGGGGAATGAGTGGCCTATGGCGTCAAGTTACCGACGAAGGCATTGCAACAGTTAGCGAAGCGCATTGTCATCATGAACGGTCATTGCATCTGAAGTATTTTTTGTGTTATTAACTGTGATAATGAATCTATATGTGGGTATCATGCGTATCTCGCTCTACTACGCCTCCAAAAAGGCAACGTTTGTGTGTGTGAACACAGAGGCAATCAATCTATGCCATGTCTTCCTCCACATCCGGTGTGTATGCTCCGAGTGTTTCCAATTCCATGTATGTCCCGCTTGCCTTGGCCATGCATCCTTCCCTTTCCTCGGTAATCAAAATCCTTCCCAATCCAAACCAGGTGTATATGCATCTTCAACTGACCAATTTTAGAGTAGTGAATATCCAATCCTGCATCCACATCATAACGAGCCAAGTGGCCTTCCAAAATTCGGCGTCTGCTTAAGTTTAAGCATCGGGATATCATCCGTCGACGCTATAGCGACCAGGCCCTCGCCATCTTCATCATCATCTCTCCTTGACCCGTTTACTCGCCCAATAGCCCGCAGCGCATTCTGTAGCACCTGCCCATCACTCAGCTCCTGCTCATCCAACTCCTCTGTCCTCTCGCTCTCCGCAACTTCCTCAAGCTTACTCGTCAGAGCAGCGAGGAACTGCTTATCCTCAGGCGCATCATTTGTCAGGCCCAGCGGACCTGAGAGTTCTGGGTCCTCGATTGGAGACTCATCCTGCTCGGCCACAGTAGGAATGGATTCTGGGCCCCGCGCCGAGGACTTCGGTGTCGTGACCCCACTATCGCCGAGATCGAAGTAAATCACCGAATGGTTCGGCGTATGGCCTGCGTGCATCGTAAGTCGACGACCCTCCGGCTGCTTGATAATATCCCGGGCCTTTCGTGGGCCCAACATCGAACTGTGGCGGTCGTAGCTTTGGCTAGGTCGCGGCGGCGGTGCAGTATCAGGGGAGAATTTACTAGGCGACATCATCGTGCCGGATGGGCTGCGTATTTGGGCTGCAAACATGGGAGCCACCGCGGATGACTTGATGGGTACGCCCTCCAGTTCGGGCTGTATGAGCGAGATGTCGATGCTGTCGCCTATCACGGTGTCTTCTCGAGGTGAAAACTGCTCACCTGAGTCGGGGCTTTTTTGAAAGTCTGATTCACTGAGTTCCTTGGATGTCACACGAAGACCAGTCTCGCGTAGAGTAAACATGTCGTCGACCCGCTGGTCTAAAGTGGATGTGCCTCCGAATGTCCGTGATGGATGTTTTGGGGCAGGAGCGTAGAAGGGACTGCCATCAGGATTGCGGCCAGATTCCTGGGTCACCGATCTCGAGAGCGGCGACCCAAGATTGCTACCTCGAGAGGTGGTTGCATCTGAGGCAATGCTTGGGCTCTGCTGCACGAATGCTTTCTGCGCAGCATCAACAGGCGGTGATAAAGTAAAAGTGGCAGAGGATTTTTGAGAAGGACCAGTGAATGCCGCAAGTTGTGCTTCGAGTCCCGCGATGCGCTCCTCATACAATGCGCGCTCCTTGTCCCAGAGTGACCGCTCCTCCGCCATCACCTCTTCGGCTCGAGCCCTGTCCACTTCCATGTGTGCCTTCTCGCCCAGGAATTGTTCTCGCTGTCTCCTTGTGAATTCCCGCCAGTCGTCGACCTGCTCGACACCTTTACCATGGAGAGACGTCGAGTGGCTGATCGGCGGCGAGATGAGACGGCCCTTCTGGTAGTAGTGCGGGGATAAGGCTGAGGGTGAGGTTTTGATGGTGGAAGGCGGGGAAGGAAGATCGTTCGTGTAGTTTTGGCTACTGGGTATGTTCTTGCCGGAGGGTTGGTTGACGTAGGCAGGAGCGCCTCCGGGCAAGGTAAACCCTTTCGGCGAAACAGGCGACTCTGAGTGGATTTGTCGTTCGAGAGGCTCGAGCTGTTCCATATGACTGACGGCGACGAAGTAATCAGGTTGCTGTGGTGCCATGTGGAGATGGCTCCGGGAATATCAACGAAGCCTGCTACAGGCCATATGGCAGGAGGTGAATGTCGAGGTCGGCGATTCGAGATTCAGGCTTGTAAATGGTGAATATGAGATCTCGTGAGTACTTGGAGATCAGAGTCGCACGATGGGAGAGGGTTGGTGGTGTGTGAGAGTTGTGGTGTGAAGCTATCGTAGGATGTCGGTTGCTGTTACACCGAGCCAATTCCGACTGTATCGCGATCGTGAGGAGGAGATGGCTGGTGGGTGAAGATTGAAGCCGACGATGAATTCGTCTCGTCTAATTTCTTGTCGCTGGCGCCGGGGCTCGTGACTGCCTTGCGTGTTCATCATACATGCCAGTACGCCAGGACATCAAAATATAGTGGTTGGTGGACAAATTGTATATAACAGTAGTAGGCTTTTACCGCTGTAGTACGGAGTATACATAACTAATATGATGGAAAACTAGCGACCGATATATCTGGTATACCTATACTAGATAGCCGCAACTGCCGCGTTGGAGCCTAGGATACAAACGTCGCCGGGTTTGGTGCAGATATCCATGAGGGGGTTGCAGCACACCTCGCCCGAAGCGCAAGTCTTTGAACCACAGACTGGGCCAGCTGAGGCTTCAACTACTGGGTCGGTCACCGGGCAGCCTTGGACGCAGAACTCGCCGGGTTTGGTGCAAATGTTGCAGAGGGCGTTGCAGCATACCAAGCCGGCCCCACAAACAGCCATGCCCATGCCGCATTTCTGGCCGCCAACACACTCCGGAACGTTATCGATGACTTGGCAAACGCTGCCAGAAGCGCAAAGGACGACATCGCAAGAGCTGGCGCGGTCTTTGAGGACGGGGTTCGCAATGACACCGATAGCCGCCGTCAGAAGCACTGCGGCTTTGATGCAAAGAGGATTGAAAGACATCATTTTGATTGATTGAAGTGATTGGATCGTGATGGCGAGCTTGGATTCAAACCCTCAATCGTGTCAGAGGTGAAGCCGAAATATATACGAACTGGAATTACGGAGTCAAAAACCATGTCGTGCAACTGCCCTGTACACCGTTGGGATCTGGAATGTGCTGAGTGAGACGGGCATATCACCGACTCCGATGCGCACAAGGCCGAGACAGGAGCGATATAAGCTGACGACGAAGGCCAGCTTCATTGTGCTCGATGGGTTATGGGCGTTTTGATAATGGTTCAGCTCGAGTCAGATCGGGAGGTTCTTATAATTCAATTCGGCACTGGAAAAAGCAGGTCCTCAACCTACTTAACCCACCTATAACAAGTCTACAATTATTTTCCATTTAAAAAAGGTTTTGATGCCCTCACGATGATCTGGTTATCTCCATTGGCTACCTGATGGCGACCTGTCGACACACACGAAGTAGGCCTCGTGTTAGGACAAGATGAACGCGATGCACCGCAACTTTGATGGCCATGGATAATCTGGCGGTATAGGTGAGTGGGTGAGCAGCAAGGGTGAGCAGGATGAGCGAGGGTGGTCCCCGCCACCTTCAAGTTTCGCAGACTGGGTTTTGGATACGCTGTACCACAGCCAGGCTGGCCATCTGTAAAACCAGGATGGGCACAGGAATGGCCTGGGAAGGCCATTTTTGAGGCAGCGAGCGAGGCGGGCGTGCATGGTGGGTCCATGATAGATATGCTGCCTACTAAATCTAAGAACTCAATAGTTATTAATGTTATTGTGAAGGTATTTAATTACCGCCCCCTACTAGTTATGTTACGTGGATCGGGAGATTATCACCCAAAATCGGCTGGGATAGCCAACGAATATCACACGGCACAAGCCCGTCCGCTACAGCGATCTACTCGTACCATTAAAAAGCCCGTTGCCCCGCTCTTACTTAAGCACGGACTAGTCGATAATCTGAACTAGTAGATCTAGGACTAAGTTATGGAAAGCTTCACCGATCGCAACCTACGTACGAACGCAGACTTGAATACTCACTTAGTGTTACATCACTTAGTGTTACACTCCTTCACTCGAGATTGAGTGGTCGATGTAGTTTGGAGACCTGTAGCACGTCCCTCATCCTCTTTTCCAACAGAGAGCTCGGCACCTTGGTTCTTTGATATAGGCTGGCACCAACCTCAGAAGTCGCATTTTCGAAGTGTTTCGCATATCCCCCCCATTTGGCGTTGCTATTTTCTCGTCAGGATCGCGAATAATTGGGCCATTACGAGCGGGCGGCTTTCTCTATTGGAGATTCTGGTCGGAAGACATAATATGCTACATACATCCCTCTAGTTTTGTTGACATGAACTACTAATTCCATCGCGCCCTTTTCAAGAACCTGAAGCCAGTTTTGTACTCCATTAATCAATACTTCAGTCTGATGTCATTTCTAACATTTGTAACCTCTATCATATCCAGCCTCTTATTGGTCGTAGACGTGAGATCCCCTTAGCCCACTCTACGCAAAACAAAAGAAATAATTCACCACTGAACTTACTGAGCTTCCCTTTCTCGCTCTCGCTCCCAAACAACTTTTATCCACCGCAACACAACCCCCTTTCTCCCCCTTTCTCACACCCAAATTATACCGGTCTCCTTCACCGGCATTGTCAGACGAGGCCAACAAGCCCTGGGTTGTCGTAGGTGAACATTCTAGGACCACCAATCGTTGTTATTGAGCTTGCTCAATCATCTGTCCTTGCATTTCCACCTGGTGCTGCTGTTGTCCAGCGCCAGCCCGTCCCTGCTCTGCGGCCTTCTCCTGACTGGGGCTCTCGCTCATCGTCAAGAATCGCGAGAACATATTACGCTGCAAGTCGCCACCACCAGCGGCTGCAAGCTTCGCGGCTCTGCGGCGGAAAAAGATACGCTTACCCCATTTCCAAGTCTCAATACCGGCAAAGAAGAGGATTGCTTCGATGAGCACGATGGCCCATTCCCAGCTAATGCCGGTGTGCTTGAAGACCACGTGGTTGATGACCGGGATATAGAGGACGGGGAAGACGGTGATAAACCCCGCCATAATGGCCCAGAACAGGAACTGGTTACGCCAGACATCGTGCATCCATTGGGTGAAGTACTTTTTAGATCCAGGTTGCATGCGGAAGAACGAGCGGCGCATGTTGACCATCTCCCAGGCGAGGAAAAGGGCGAACAAGGTGAGGCAAACGAAGGTTGTGGCGCGAGCGCGGAAGACGGTGTCGCACACTTCGCTGTAGGCATCGTTGCAGCCGATACCGAGGTTGCCATCACCGAAGCCGAAGAGAACAACGGAGAAGGCGGCAAGGCAGAGGGCAGCCATCCAGAGCCCGTAGACGACCATGTCGACCATGACTTCCATGGTGAAGACGCCGGTTTTAAGAGACTGCGGTGGGCGTTGCATGATGTCTGGGGCAGCAATTTCAACACCGAGACCCATATCGGGCATACCTGAAGGGTTTAGTGACAAGATTGGCATGGAAATAAATGGGTAAGCTTACCGGAAGTGATCATAATAATCCAGAGGATTTCAACAGGCGCAAGAGGGAAAACTGAGAGGCCAGACTGGTCTTTGAAGGCAAGACCAATAAGAAGAGTACAAGCTTGTGCAATATTCTCGGCGAGGAGATGAAGAACAAACTTCTGGATATTGTCAAACATACGTCTCCCCTCCTCAATGGCGTTGAGAATAGAAGCGAAGTTATCATCAGTTAGTACAATATCAGAAGCATCCTTTGCAACATCAGAACCAGCTTGGCCCATAGCAATGCCAACATCAGCGCGTTTGAGAGATGGCGAGTCGTTGACACCATCACCGGTCATAGCAGCGAAGCATTTGCGGCGATGGAGCGCATCGATCATGCGGACTTTTGTTGTTGGGGAGCAACGAGCAATAACAAGAGGAAGAACAGGCAGATCATCAATCTCGTCATCGGAGAGCTTATCGAATGCACTGGCCGTCATGACCATAGAATCCACGACGTCCTTGGCAAAAGACATCATATTCTCAGGAAGAATGCCAACTTGAAGAGCAATGGCCCTTGCGGTGCCAGGATGATCACCAGTTAACATATGAACTGCGATACCAGCCCGGTGGCATTCCGCGACAGCGCCGGCTGACTCTGGTCTTGGAGGATCATACAAGCCAACAAGACCACAGAATGCTAAGTTCTCCTCGATGATCTTGCGGTCAAGTGGCGCATCCTTGTCCGCGGGAACAATATATTCCTTGCTTGCAAGAGCCAAAACACGAAGACCTTGTTTTGCAAGAGCCTCCATATTCAACAGAATTTCCTCTCTATGAGCCTCGGTCATCTTAATAAGACCCTGGTCTTTGCTCCAATGAACTTGTGTGCAAGACCCCAAGACGCGCTCAACAGCGCCCTTGGTGAAAACCATAGAATTTCCATCCTTGTGCTCGAAGATGACGGACATCTTCTTGACGTCAGAATCAAAGGGGAATTCAGCAGTTTGGGACCACTCGGGCTCATCTCCACTGGTGAAACGGTCGCGGCCCCAATCAAAACGAGACGCAAAGACTTGGATGGCGATTTCAGTCGGATCCCCGCGAGCCTTCCAGGTATTTTCACTCTTGTAGACACGAGCAAGATTGGCAAGCGATGCAACATTGAGGAAGTCCTTGAGGTGAGTGTTATCTTCGAGGAGGTCGGCAAGTGGCTTAACCTTCTCATGCTCTCCCTCTCCCTCTCCCTGGGGAACATTGGATGGGGCAAAAGTGCTGTGGCTGATATCACCAATCGATGGGTCGACGGGATTTTCGGATGTACCAACGGAGTAAGTGCCCACAGCTGGAACCCAAGCCTTCTTGGTAACCATCTTGCCCTGGGTGAGTGTACCGGTTTTATCGGAGCAAATATCGGTCACAGCACCGAGTGCCTCGAGGGAATCCAACGTGCGAACTACAACATTACGGGAAACCATTCTCTTCGTACCAGCTGCCATAGTGATTGTTAATACCACAACCAAAGATGCAGGAATCATAGACAAGCCTGTCGCGACTGCGTAAATTATGACCTCGTTGTTGTTCGAGAAGTTATTGGCAGCCAAGACGATGATAGCGCAAACAACGGCGGTGCCGAAAAGGAGGATAGCCAGTTTGGACAGCTTCCTTTGAAGTGGAGTGCCAACAGCCGTGCCGAGGAACTTGCCAATACAATCGCCGGCAGTCAAACCCCATGCTTCAAGGTATCTGTGCGGTTTGACCTTGCCATCTTTACTGCGCCTGGGTTCACGGGTTTTCTTGTCGGTAGCCCGCAGCGCCAATGCGATAGATCCAATTTCCGTTCTCATACCAGTCGCATAGACGATACCAGTTGCACGGCCTTTGGTAACGGTAGATGAGCTGTATGCAACGTTGAGGCGGTCACCCGGGCCAGTATCAGCGTCGAAGATGGCCTTGGCCTCTTTTGAGACTGGGAGCGACTCTCCTGTGAGGAGAGCCTCGTCTGTCTCGAAGTTCATAGCATCGACCAATCTTTTCACCAAGTTAGCATGAGTGCGGCTGTAATCGATCGACAATTGCATACCGGATATCCGCAGGAACGGTATCTCCAGTCTTAAGTTCGACTTTGTCACCAGGCACGAGATCACCAGTGGGGATAGTTTCTGTCTTGCCATCTCGAACGACCGTAGCAGTAGGGGAGCTAAGAGACCGCAGAGAGTCCATCGTTTTTTCGGCGCTGAACTCCTGGAAGAACCCGACGACGACGTTGAGGACGATGACAGCGGCGATAACGCCACCTTCGATCCAAGATTTGATAGCAAGACTCACGGCCATGGCCATGATCAGCACCTAAGTAATTACATCAGATGGTCGACTCTTTGAAAGGGGGTTGTGGATCTCATAACTAGAATCATTGCGTTTGCAATCTGATGGACCAGGATCTTGATGGGTTGCACACCCGGTCCATCGTCGAGCTCGTTGCGTCCCCATTTCTCCGCGCGAGAGGAGATTTGGCTGCGTGCAAGACCATCTTCAAGGTTTGTCTCGAGCTGATCTCGAGTTTCGTTTATTGTCAGTGCATGTGCAAACACGACTTGCGGACCACTGTCTAGGCCCTGATCTTTAGCCATGATTGAGAGGAAACAAACGAAGCAGACGAAATCACGCGACTAAGAACAATTGACAGTTGATGAGAGAAGTTCGTACAGCAGCAGCAACAACTGTTGTATATGTAGTCTTAAAAGGGTACCAAAAGGAATACTTTCTCCACCAAACCTTTGGGGGTGAGTCGTAAAGATAGCCAGAAGTCGGCTTGGCTTGGTCTTGGTCAGGTCTTGGCCTGCAAAAAATGATAACTTCGAAAAAACAAGATGCGCATATCGGCGAAAGGAAGGACCTTAGTGGAACTCTGGGTATGGCGGAGAAAGCTAGAGAGCGCATATTTTAAAATGTGTTATCCACAATGACATCTCCGCCAACCTCTTTGGTTAATGGGGTGGCGACAGTGCGAAGAGTGGAGCAGTTAACCCAGATATATGACGACAGCCAAGTATATATTCCACAAAACTTACGCAGAGGTGCTCGCGTGCCATACCAAGGCGGCTGCACTCGGGCCTAATCACATGATGCTGTCATAATCACATGATTCTGTACGTTACCATTGGCTAACAATTGCACTGAAAGTTTTCCCTGGCGTAAAGTCCGACTCCCGGATTGGCTCGGAAGCTCTGGTGGTGTAGATCTTATGCAGCTGCCGAATTCTATCACAACTGAAGCTGAAGAGCCCTCAGGCTGCCAGGGTTTCGGGGCTTCCCCCAGGGCTTATAAGTAGGATACGTAGGCCCGTAGCATAGTGTAGTAATTCAATTTGATCTATATTTTACATACTGTATTTACTGCGAGGCTCCTGCTCCGGTGCGCCAAGAGACTGATTACGGTGATCGGGGATTTCTTGTGAAGATATGATTAAAAAACCCACAAAAGGCAAAAGCATACAACAGTGGACGCCTAAAGGGCTAGCCACCTGCTTCATATTTCACTTATATTTTCAAGGAGATGATGGGATGCTAGGTTGAATTAATTCATCTCCCCCTTTGCGATGGCTTTGTCTTAGAAAGCAGCCTCTGCCTTGTCTTTGCTGTAGTGTGACTAGGCTAGTGGATAGTTGCAGACACTAGTGGATATTAGATAGTTAAGCTATCCATTAACTATCTAGATTATCTAGCTATCTATCAACTATCTAGACTATCTATAAGGCACAACACCACTATATAAGTAGTGTAAGGACACAGGGCACCCAGCTCACAGCAATAGCATATCAGAGTGCAAGTCGGAGGCTAAACGGATGCTATCCTATAGGTCTACTACGAAGGATACAAAAAAGATGATGAGAGGAACCCCATTGGGTCAATCCCCTTACGTACCCGAAACGGGTCCGACTTGGTGTCATACTGACATTCGTTGCACTCAGTTTGCTATCAAACTCAAGAGCAAACTTAGAAATCTCCTCCTCAAACCTACAAGTCACCATACATATCTTGGCTTATCACACCAACAACAGAAGCAATACTACTGAACGATTGCTGCAAACTCTTCTACTACATCTGTTTATGCTACATACATCACAGCATATCATTTGGACACTCATTGAACAAGTTATTAAGAAAATCTCCTCCTTAAGGGGGTGGGCCAATACTACCACATGGCATATCTCTACCAACTAGAGGCCTAGGAACATGAACGATAGCTCTAGAAGCTTCTACAACCCTCTATGATTCATTACATGTCATCGCTCCTTAGTTACCCACAAGATTGGTTAAGTTATGACATAATTTGTCTATAGGGGTACTCTGACCTTGGACCTCCTTTCACTTCCTATAGGCTAGGAACCCAAGAGATGGTTCTATGGGATTCTCTTACGTTCACTACATGATTAGCAAGCTAGTTGTGGGTCGCACTTGATTTCTAATACATTTACCAAGCCTGGTTAGTCATGGAAAGTCATGGAAAATGAGAGAACTACACTCCTTTGGCATAAATAGGATTGCCCTTTCCTTAAGAAAGGGCAAGCAGGCAATACAGTAAATCGACTATCACATACTTCCACGTCTTTTACAAGCTTCCAAGCATTCATCTTGTTACTCCTTGTTTCTGAAAAGTCAGTGAGGTGTTAACCTCTGACTTACCCCTGAGTTCCCAGACTCAACATTTGTTGCAACTTGTCTGAACCACTTCACTACATCACACACCTGATTGCTGCGTTGTGGAATAGTCTAAGCTACAACCCTTTGGCTCTGTTTCCTAAGACAGTGTGTTGTCTTAGTAAAATCATCCCTTCCTTGGGTGGCTAGATTCTCACATCTGGTGCACCCACCATTACACTTGGCTAACCTGCCTTAACTCTCCCCACGTGACCGTAACCTCTCTGACTCAGATCCCTTCTGTCACTGAGGGCGGAGGCATCCTTACAAGTAGATCGTAGTCCCTTAGATAGAACTTCATGCTCAACTTAATATAGTATTCTTTACAATACTGTAACATGTTACTTAGAAAGCCTTTTTGTTTAATCCCCTGCCTCCTCTGTTAAGTCAACCTTATGCAAGAAACCTTCTATCATTTTAGAAGTTAGCGTTACACTTTAAGCACCACTTCTACAAGGTGCCGGCTTACACACAAAGCAACATGTCTTCTGTTAAGAAGAGCAAGTCCCTAGAGCCATCAGCTCCCCTAACTACACCACCAACTGTAGTGGTGACTACTGTCACTAGTAAGCAGACTGTTAAGGTTCAGGTGCCTAAACCCTATAGAAGAACGACACAAGCTTAAGGCTTTTCTCCTTAAGTGCGACTTGTACCTTATGTTCAATTCTCATGTGTTAATAGGAGAGGCTAACTAGGTCTTGTAGGCTATCACCCTCTTGTAAGGGGCTGCCTTTAACTAGATCAAGTTCTTTGTTAATGACTACTTAGAAAAGAAGGGACCTAAGGGACAACTCTACACCCACATATCGGTCATCACTAGGGAAATCTTCAGAACCTAGAAGGGATTTAAGACCAACATTACTAAGGTGTTTGGTGACATAGACGCTAAAAGAATGGTAGAACGACACCTGCTAAAGATTCAGCAGAAGGGGTTAGTCACGCCTTACACTACAGAGTTTCAGCAGTACATAGGATGAACTTATTAGCATGATGATGCCTTACAAGCAAGGTACTACGACAGTTTGAGGGACTCTATTAAGGACGAGATCGCTCGTGGCATCTGTCTAGACAACCTAGAGAACCTAATCCTCACTGCTACGTTAATCAACTATCGTCACTACAAGTGCAGACTTAAGAAAGGTGGACAGAAACCCACTTGGATCTAGAAGAGACCTAAGCAGAAGAGCTATTAGCCTTAGTGTAATGGTGGGTGCACCAGATGTGAGAATCTAGCCACCCAAGGAAGGGATGATTTTACTAAGACAACACACTGTCTTAGGAAACAGAGCCAAAGGGTTGTAGCTTAGACTATTCCACAACGCAGCAATCAGGTGTGTGATGTAGTGAAGTGGTTCAGACAAGTTGCAACAAATGTTGAGTCTGGGAACTCAGGGGTAAGTCAGAGGTTAACACCTCACTGACTTTTCAGAACAAGGAGTAACAAGATGAATGCTTGGAAGCTTGTAAAAGACGTGGAAGTATGTGATAGTCGATTTACTGTATTGCCTGCTTGCCCTTTCTTAAGGAAAGGGCAATCCTATTTATGCCAAAGGAGTGTAGTTCTCTCATTTTCCATGACTTTCCATGACTAACCAGGCTTGGTAAATGTATTAGAAATCAAGTGCGACCCACAACTAGCTGCTAATCATGTAGTGAACGTAAGAGAATCCCATAGAACCATCTCTTGGGTTCCTAGCCTATAGGAAGTGAAAGGAGGTCCAAGGTCAGAGTACCCCTATAGACAAATTATGTCATAACTTAACCAATCTTGTGGGTAACTAAGGAGCGATGACATGTAATGAATCATAGAGGGTTGTAGAAGCTTCTAGAGCTATCGTTCATGTTCCTAGGCCTCTAGTTGATAGAGATATGTCATGTGTAGTATTAGCCCAGTAACTAAGGAGTGATGTCATGTAATGAATCATAGAGGGTTGTAGAGATATGCTATGTGGTCATATCAGCCCAGTAACTAAGGAGCAATGACGTGTAATAAATCATAGAGGGTTGTAGCAATCGTTGAGTAGTATTCCTCTTGTTGTTGGTGTGACAAGCCAAAATATGTATAGTGACTTGTAGGTTTGAGGAGGAGATTTCTAAGTTTGCTCTTGAGTTTGATAGCAAACTGAGTGCAACAATATGACACTTAAGGAACGGCTCTGCTTTAATTGCAATAAGCCTGGATACATGGCTAGGGACTACAAGCAGCCAAAGAAAGGGAATGGTGGTCAGAAGTTCAGCAAACAACTAAATGCCACTTAGCAAGGCCAAGCGGGCTACAACTCTTAGAGTGGACAGTTAAATGCCACGTCTAAAGGCAAGGAAGTCTAGGAGGTCACTACTGAAGACGTTAAGGAGTTCGACACCTCAAACGGCAAGGACAAGGAAGACGAACCCTTGTCTAATGATGAACTCACGTCAAAGCAAGCAGAAGAGCTAAAACGCTTTAAAGAAAGTGCAAGCAAAACGGTATTTAAGGACCAGCTACCTAGGGTGATGAGATGCCTTAGGTAAAGCATGCTTGAAAGCAGGGATTAGGGCATCCCTATGCTGGAACCGCTAAAATATTAGCAAGGCACAGAACAAGGCTAGGAGGTTACGGTCCATAAAATGAGATGCCGACTGTCATACTGACATTTGTTGCACTCAGTTTGCTATCAAACTCAAGAGCAAACTTAGAAATCTCCTCCTCAAACCTACAAGTCACTATACATATTTTGGCTTGTCACACCAACAACAAGAGCAATACTACTCAACGATAGCCCCACTAGCCCTATAACCATGATGTTACGTTACAGTAGCCATAACATGAGCCTCCTGTTCCGAAGATGCTGCTGCTTTCTATTTAGACTTAAGATGCTCTTCTTCTTTACGAAGCTTTTCCTAATTAGGAGGAGAAGGGGTGTAAGCATCGCATTTGGAATTACTATGAGTACATTCACTACAACGATGATGACTATGAACGATGATACAAGATCGCTTGCTATGAAGACACTTAGAACATAGTGACATTAGGTTGCTGTTCTTTTCGATGCAGTCTGTAAGAAGATTTCGTTCTTTGATTTTTGTGTGTCTCTTAGAAGACATAATAGCAGCGCACCTACTTGGCAATTAAGTAGGCATCACCCTACTTAAGTAATTAGCAGTTTCCTTAATTAGCAAGACCTATAGGACTAGGTCTTTAGGAGGGAGACCTAGTGTTACAGCTATGGAACGTAATGTCATAGTTATAGAGCTAGCAGGGCTAGGCTCTAGTAACATGACTCATAGTCACAAGGCTAGTAGGGCTAGGCTATAGCATGACCTAGCTAGTGGATAGTTTGTAAGGACACAGGGCACCCAGCTCACAGTAATAGCATATGAGAGTGCGAGTCAGAGGCTAAACGGATGCTAT